AAAATTCATAATAAATGTTACATAGAGTAACGGCGATAGCGATAGCGATGACGGCGACAATTTATAAAATGTCTGTTTTATTTGTCACGTTCCTTTATGATCAGATTTTTTATTAATTTCACACACAATTACAAAAGAAAAGTCTCAGATCGTTAATTAATTGTCAAAACTAAATAATCGGTTCAGAAATATTTTATTTCCTGATAAACTTAGTTTACGAGAATAAATTTATAAACTAGAGGAATCGATTCAGAAATATTCGATTTCCATATCGAATAATTTCGCAACGTCACTATTTATTACGTGTCATAACGTTGCAACACTGAAATTGTCAAATCTGGAATGGAATTAAAATTCCGAGTATAGTAATTACATCATCAACTTATTCAGCCTATCGAGCCTAGAGCAAAAGGGATCATCTCACACTAAAAAGATTTTAGCAATAATCACCATGCTTGCTCAGGTTGGATGGGATTTCAAACTTATTATTAGAAATTATAAGTCCGGGTTTTCTTACGATGTTTTCCTTCACCATTGTAAATAATCATATAAAGTGCATGTAACTCGGAAAATGTCACATTGGTAGATACTTGCCAGGTTTAAATCCCACGTGCAAGAGAAAGGAGTTTTTTTTTTATGTAATAGCTCGGCAAACGAGCAGACGGATTACCTGATGGTAAGCAATCAGCGCCGCCCATGGACACTCGTAACGGAGGAGTTACGAGTGCGTTGCCGACCTTTTAGGGATTAGGGATTTGGAGATTTAGGGATTGAGGAGGGATTGGGAAAGGAGAAGGATTGGGCCTCCGGTAACCTCACTCACACGGCGAAACACAACGCAGTGGTTATTTCACGCCGGTTTTCTGTGAGGCCGTGGTATCAATCCGGTCGAGCCGACCCATTCGTGCCGAAGCATGGCTCTCCCACACTTTTACTTAACCTCCGACCCACTATAATAATGAAAAGTATGGTCACGCCAATTTTATGTGAAATTATGTAAACTGACCGGTCAAGGAGTATCAAGCTAAAATCTAAATAGTACAAAGAGTGGTTAGGCATTTTGATTGCAAAATTTCTACAAGTTTGAGTTCAAGATTTTCTTTTAAGTTCATATTTTATAACAAAACCAACACGAGAGAACAACATACATCATCATAGCCAATCAACAAATCAGTAGGGAAAATTAAAAATGCGTATCTATAGTAATTCTTGCTTATAGAACAGTGTATGATGATTTAATGCATATTGCAGACATAGATTCGATGAAAATAATTGTTACAAGTAAAAAAGATTCAGGAAATTAATTAGCTATGTACCTATGTGTGAAAAAAAAGTAACATGGATGTGATGTGCCTACAAGCCAAAAGTCTGTATTTAATTTACTTCATGGCGCACCTGTATTTTATAGCACAGTCCTACGTCAATATTAATAAACAAGTGTCATATAATAACACTACAGTAATAGACTCGGGTATTTTCGTAATTGGCACAAATATAATCAACGCAAGAACATCACAGATGTCCGCATGCACGCGTTTCCTCAATAATTTTCTCATCTTTGGCAGAAACTACAACAGCTGTATCTAGTTTCTTGTACCTATATATATGTCGAAGTGAAACATATAAAACGTTATTTGGCTAGCCTAGTTCGTTTGTTTATGAAACCTACATATTTCTTGTCTAATTATTAACTAGATTTTGTACATATAATTTTATTGTATTTATTTAATCATTACTATTGTAATTAGCAATCTAATATAGCATAAAACCTACTAATATCACAAAGATTTGTAGGCATGAAAGTTTGTTAGTTATTCGCGTAAAATCTACCGAATGGATGTATACATATAGATGAAAATTGCCACAAAAGATAGACTGTAAAACTGCAAAGCCGCAGGTAAAAGCTATATGTATAACATTATTTTGTACAATACATGTGGAAATAACTTGAAATTATAATTTAAACAAACATAGACGATCAACTACCACTGCTACTACAATTTATGAATTCTTAGCAAATAAAGTCTTATTCTATTCTATTCTATTCTAAATCCAAATTATTAAACTTTTTATTATTACTTACTTATTCGGTAACATGGTGGCAAAGATGCGACCTTGTTGCTTAAAAAAACATCCTTCGTCAAAGTATTTTTTACTGATTACCTGATGGGAAGCAATCGGCGGCGCCCATATCCACCTGCAACACCGAAGGAGGAAAGGTACGTTGCCGGCCTTTTGGGGATAAGGGTTTCGGATCTTCAAGGGTTGGGAAGGGATAGGGAGAGGAGGAGGGATTGGGGCTCCGGTAACCTCACACGGCAAAACACAACGCTGTGGTTGTTTCACGCCGGTCTTCTACCAGGCCTTGATATCACTCTGATCGAGCTGATCCATTCGTGCCGAAGCTGGGCTCTCCCTTATTGTTGTTATTCTTTTATTTTTATTTTATCGACCTCCGAACATCGCTAATACATAACATAATACTTCTTCGTATTTCCAACCAATATATCGTGATTGCTAAAACTTTTAAAATCAAATACACATTAGCAATAACCTACTTCAATCAAGTGAAGGTTAATTGCTATTTGTATGGCAATCCAATGTCAATGCAATTGCATTCCAATCGTGACTACTATCGCTAGTTTATGACTGTTTTATTATTATTATTAAAGCTTGTATTGACGTCATATTCAATGACTAATAAAAATAGAAAAAAATATTGGGTAGGTACTACTAGGTGTATATATAAATATTTATTTATTTTAGTGTTTTTGTTGTATTTTTAAATCTTAATTTATCTTCTCAAAGTTCTCTTCTATATTCTCATACTCTCTCTGCATCACCCTAAGGTTGACTGGTGAGAATGCCTACGGCATTAAGTCCGCCTATGTTATGTTTTGTTGCATAAAATTTAAATAAAGAAATAAATAAAATAAATACTAGCTTTTGCCCACGATATTATTCGCGTTAAAATAGTGACTTCCTGCAGATTTGGTTTTGTTAAAAACTATCCTATGTCCTTTCTCGAGTTACAAACTTTGTCTGTACCAAATTTCTTTCAAATAGGTTCAGTAGTTTAGGCGTGAAGAAAAAACAGACAGACAGAGTTACTTTCGCATTTATAATATTAGTTTGGATAGTGACTATTTTTAAAAAAGGCAGTCTATTTCTCCAAGTGCTTATATCATACCGTTAAAATTTTTGAATATTTCAATTTGTATTATTTTATTACTTAAAACAATATTTTACAACTGATACCTTTTTTTGTGAGGGGGAAATCATCAAATGACTTCTCAGGGCCGCCCAGGGCCGGGCAGGAGAGAGTGTCAGACTCTTACTGACTAAAAACCCCCCTGTTCCTTCTCCTGCTCTGGGCCGAGGTCGCGGTGCCTTATTGCGCTTACCCCGCAACCCCGGCTGTAATACCCTCTTATTACAAACCAAGATTTATCTTTAGTCTAGGTTTAAACCATTAAATCAAGTTTTGAATTTTGGATCTTATTATCAACGACCTTCAATTCGAAATATGAAAACTGGCTCAATGGTTTTGACATAAACTAAAGAAATGCCTTGTTTTATGAGTGTTACGTCATGAAGTGAAACAAATGACAATAAAATAACAATATCAAGCTTTCGCCTAAAACTATTATCTTAGTTTTGGCCAATTTCAAAATTTTAATTATTAGTCTGAAATCAGGAATCCTTTAGAAAGCGTGGTTGTGGCTGCTCAAATCTTATCCGCGTGAGATGCAAAACATAAAAAGCAAACCAAAACTCTTCACTAAAATAGTTTTGTTTCTATCTAAAGTCTCTAAAATGCAAATGTCAAAACTTGAATCCAATTTCCTATGTTGCCACATTTTAAGTGTAGACTGTTGTGTTGTGTAGAATAAACACAAACTAAACACGTGTTCCCTACATTGTAAGCTTTGGCGAAACACAATTTAATTTAAAAAATAGACCCTTGCGTAAAAGACGCAATTTTTGCGTAGCAGCCTGTCTACTACGGCGTAGTCACCGTAGCAACCTGCTACGGAATGCAACGGAACGTAGTAAAATCATGATAACAATCCGCACTCTTAATTTGCATCCTAGGAATTATCTTTCTCACCAATAAGAGAAATGAAAACAAATACGAAACATTAAAACAAGTGTTTAATATGAAGTTTATAAAAGGTTTTACTCGCTTATCTCCCTTCCATTTGATAAATGTTGTAATGAGGTCTTTTTAAAAGTAACAAATTATAAAATATTTATACTTTACTGTTAAACGGGATTTAATGTGCACGTACCTTTTTTATATGTTATTTACATGAAGTTTCGTGTCGTTTTACGCGTTAAATCTCTTTAAACAGTAAAGTATTAATATGCAACGCAAAAGTTTAAATTAAAGAATTATCATAAAATATTTGGCGTTATCCAAGAAATTTCAGTCCCTCAAGACGATTCTAGTACGAGTAAAGTTGCCACAAAAGGTGTAAATGTAATAAAAAAACATTTTTGCTTACATACGTGACTTTTTGGCTAATTTCAAGCCACGTCAGGGGTTCATAGATGAGATCAGCTTTGCGCTATACGATGCCGATGTTTTTACGTTTTCAGAAACTTTTGATACAAGTGTTTATTTAACATAGTGCATATAAACTTATATCCTAAGAACTAAGTCTTTTTTTATTAAAACTTTCGTGTGACAAATTAATTATGTTTAACGGCTTCTTCATATATTTGTTTGGCGAGATATCTCGTCGAGTTTCAAGCCACGTCAGGGGCTCATAATATGAACAACATTACGCTACATTCGACGCAAACGGCGAACTAACTAGGTTATTTAGACTTTATTCCCAACGATAAAACTTGCTTTATAAACATTTTTTCGCGTTAAACGTTTGTAGAATAAAACCAATATAAAGAACCTCCTAATCACGTTCATCAAAAAGTATAGTTACCTATTTCTAACTATGAATATTTTAAATTCTCACTCAACATCTATTTGTTCACAGCATGCGTAGAAAAAGAATGCATCGACTGGGAAGGGAAGTCTGTCCCCCACGGTCTGCTGTATGTGCCTGGCCCGGGCGTCTGTTCGTTATGTGTCTGCTACCACTCTGAGCCCATGTGGTGCAAGGCTATTTACTGTGATCCGCCTTATGTAAGTTTCTTACATACTTTTATTTATTCTTATATTGATTTGTTTGCACATGGGTGAAAGGATATTTTGTTGGAATGCGTGAGGTAGGTACTGCTAGAAGAACGTATGAATGTACCTGCATATTTATTTTTATTTGGTATTGTTGTTAATGTAATTGGATTTAATCCGAATAGGATCAACATAAGTAAATAAATAAATAATATTTTGTTAAGGGTCTCTGTAATCCAGTTTTTTTAGAGAGACGGGAATTTTAATTTAGGAGATTTTAACTATGGAAATGTAATCACTCGATTAATATTAATATTAAGTTTTTAGGCTTGATATATCGTCTTATGTACCGAGTTTCATTAAAATCGGTTTGGCGTTTTCCACGATTTTTGTCTTGATAGTTTATATGAAAACCCGAGCAATGTAAACGATCTTTTAACTTTTTTTTTTTTGTAAAAGCAATCGCGTGATTAATGCGGTTATAAATAGTCTTAAATATTATAGACGGTAATATAGTCGACTAACTTTTTATTATAGTGTTGTAGCCTAGGTTACATTTTTTTAAATTTTGTTTTTTATGGCAAATGTCAGCCAATGAGCAAATGGATTATCAGACGGTACACAAAAGAGTGCGTTGCGGGTATTTTATGGATAGCGAATTTAAGGATTAAGCTGGGAAAATTCTTAACACATTTCTAGTAACTCCGAAGGATTGGGCCACCGGTAACCTCACTTCGTAAATGTTGTTTTACCCCAGTATGCTTTGTAGCCGTGGTATCAAACCAGTCATTTGTGATGAAGAATCGCTCTACCAAAACTACATATTATATTTTTTCGTTTTTGTAAAATGCGTTGACGCCGTCTTTATTGTAGCGTAATTATTGTGACTGAAACTAATCTAAAATGTTATATTAACTAAAATTCGCGGGTTACTCACGTGTAAATGTTGAGAAAAGCTCTACTAGTTTCGAACCACAGAGGGGTTCTTCCTCATGAGCAGCGTGCGCGGACGCGGCGACGTCGCGCAGCCTACTGTACACTGTACTGTACTGTACTTTACACGTGAGTAACCCGCGAATTTTAGTTAATTTAGTATGTCTCACGATAGTTATTATAAAATGTTATACATTATAATACTTGAAGTCTCCCCAATTATAGGTCGACAGACTATTATTTAGACCTCATGAAACATGTATACTGTGCCGCAAAGTTCTGTGGACACGGCACAGAGTTTTTAATTATCAACAGTCACGTTATAACTCAACACCTAGTTGTTGCGAAACTGACAAAAACTGTGAATTATTTATCACATGTATGTACCTGTGTATATTCAGTTCACACGACAAGTTTCCACCTAGTAGGTACCTAATTGGCTAGATACTGTTGAGTTTAACTGCGCGGTTGACACAGTTATCTGTATGTTGGTACACCCACGGTACATGAGAATATCATAGAGTGGGGAACCGCTTTTCTTTTTGGAAAAATCTGAAAGAAAAGTTTCAGACTCTTACTGACTAAACCACCATCCTCCATGTTCCTTCTCCGAAACGACTCGCGTCAACTTATTGCGCTTTACCCAAAACCCCGTACAACTACTAGGCTATCTGTACCATAAGCAAATCTATAGATTACTAAAATAAATACGACATACATAATTAGAGTCCTTGGTTAAGTATTGAGGACACTACGATAAAAACTATTTTATGATAATTAATTGAATATTACATTTTCCACAGTTCTGCAAAAACTTCCGCGTCGGAGCACGATGCTGTGAATTCGAGTGCCTCGACCCTCCTGGTGAAGACGTGCGGTACAGGGAAAGGGAGCGACTCCGAGCCCTCATCCTCTCCGGCAACTCCTCAGCACCCCACCATGGACCCTCCATGGAACTCAAAGCCGGGATCTCCCTCCTAGCAGTAGTCGTCGCACGATTCGTATGAAACACGGACCATGTAGACACTAACCAATTGAAAATTCTTTGAAATTGAGGGAATCATTTGCCTGGCAACACTGTGGTAAAAAGGTTTTAATTTATGGAATGGGGACGCAAACAGAATGACATAATGGCAGCACTGGCTGGCATCGTTTGAATTTCGATCGTTGGTAAAGAAAAGCCAGCTACGCCTAGTTTGTCTATCCTTCCTAACTAAATGCCAAAACTCACAATCGATTATGATTCGACCTGCCTTTACCTTGTCCTTACGTCCTGCTTCAAATGCAGGACCTCTATTTCTCTAGAATTATGATTTTTCATATTCAGAGCACACGATTTTACATTAATTACCAATATTATTTTCGTTTACAACAAAATGAATAAATTCGGACCAATTTTATGTAACCGAGTAGCATCGTGTCGTTCGTTTAATTTTCTTAATTTGAAAATGTTGAATGTGAAATGTAAAAGTAGGATCGTACGTTACGTCGTAGACAATTTATTCATTCAAAAACTTTTGTGTTTTGGTAGATAAACAAAGAATAAAAACTTACAAAGAAACCTTATGAAAACCTCATTTGTATTCAACTAACAATAATGGTGCCACTGTAGTCGAAAGTACGTAGAAAACAAGCTAGGTCACGTCCCATAAAAGATGAAATACTCCTTTCTCCCGGTCCATATGTAAATTGTAAGTCCATTAATCAGTAGGGTATAATAGGGATTCTTTAAATGAAAATCTTAATACATAATGACTCACGCAAACAGTACGCATGCCTATTTCTTCACTTCTAAAATACCTACTTCACTTAGCTAGACACATTTCGAAATTGTAGCTTTAAAATTCATATCATCGGGGGTCCGATTCTGTAATTTTTTGGCTACTGCAGTGAAGCGGGCTTACTCTAATGCGGCAACTGGCTGAATGAAATAGCGCCAAGCTGTAGAGAAACTAGTTTGAGTAATTTTAATAAGAAAATGCTTTCAAGCAAACTTCAGGTAAAAAGCAAAGTGCCTTGAGAGACTCGAGGCGAAATTTTATGAAATGCTTAGAGTTTATCAAAATTAAATTAAGTATAAGAACGTTATAAAATTTCAAATTCTTATTATGATATTTCGAAATAAAGTTATCTTTCTAAACTTACATTGCTCTTTACGAGTTTCAATGTTTCGACAATACTGGCTTGTTTAAATTTTCCATATCTACTTAACGTATTTTATACAATAAAGAAATAAAATTAATTCTGCTTCTCAACAAAATATTTACAGAATCGCGCCCAGCTATTTAGTGTAAAATAAAATAGTGCAATAATACACGTAGGAAACACATCGATAGGTACACATTGGTGACGATACAATAATTTATATTCGTAAATAGTTGTGATTCTTACAGGATCCCCAGCTCTATAGTTATCGAGATAAAGCTTTTATTTGCCTACTCATATTGTTTTTTTTTTTCACAATAAATTTTAAATCTATGTACATAGGGTTCAAGAATTGCATGCTGCGCTAGTTTTTTATTTATTTTATGAACTTTTCTTGGCCATATCGTTTTTCTTAGGTAACAATGGCGGTTGTGTCGACCAAGGTTCTACTTATTTATTTAATTTAGGGACATATTACAAATACTTTTTCTGTACAATAAGATCTAATTACATAAAATATAATAACGCATAGGTCTTATGAATGTAAGGCTGAAAAGCAAATCCACTAAGATCTCTTCAAATTCTTTAATATATTATTTACTTCGCTAATGACGAGAGTCGTTACTTCAGAAAATTTCCTTCCTACTATTCAAAAATTTTTTTCATCAGTAACTTCTCCTGGCAATAATAATTCCATTTACAACAAAAATAAATTGGCGTTATCGAAAGGTAGTACCTAATAGATAAAGATTATTAGAAATGTTTAATAAAATATAAAGGAGAAAAAAAATATGAAATAAAAAACATCAATCATGATCCCGCCGAAAATATAAAAGAAAAACTGTAACGAAACTAAGAGGCATCGATAAAAAAAAAGTTAAAAGCCAATTACTTTTTTATTGCCAACTCCACCGATTAATCTGATACCAAGTCCTTGCAGACCGTTTAAAAAAAATGCTGCGTCATGAATAAAAACATCCTCATCAAGTTGATGAGGTAAGTAATACATAACCAATCGATGTGTCGTGGTGGCCCTGAGGTTAAGGCGCCTGTTTCAAATGCATGAGTGTTCAAAACCTGGCAAGTACCAATGTGACTTTTTTCGAGGTTTATACACTTTCTATGATTCGGACATACGATGAACGACAACATCGTGAGGAAACCTGGACTTATATTTTGTAATTATATATTTGAAATCGCCAATCCGCCTTGAGCAAGCGTGATAAATGCTCAAACCTTTTCCGTGTGAGAAGAGGCCTTTGCTCAGCTGTGGGCATTTATAGGCTAATGATGTTGATGTATCCAATGAAAATGTTTTACATCCAATTACTCTTTAGTTTTTATCCAGCTGACAGATAAAAAGGTCGGTCGGGGTTTGAAAATAGTTGTCATAAATACGTAGTGAAGTGGTAGGTAAGTGAGTGATTTATATCGAATAAATTTGAAATATATCGGAATGATGATACAGTATTACAAGATTGATGGCATGCACTATCCGATCAAGGATTATGTAGATAGATATAAACACTTATGACGCAATATGATACTTAGGTATGGCTGTGAAAAAATCTATACAAAACACGTTGTTTTAATAAATGGCACACGAAAGTTTATCGATAGTGTTTAAAATTTTATTTTATGCCGTTTGACAGAAAATATTTCATAACCAAAATTCGCTCTAATCACCGACTGTCAGAAATTGTTATTAACTAAAATTCGCGGGTTACTCACGTGTAAATGTTGAGAAAAGCTCTAGGTACTAGTTTCGAACCACAGGGGGGGGGGAGCGCCGCGTCCGCGCACGCTGCTCATGAGGAAGAACCCCTCTGTGGTTCGAAACTAGTAGAGCTTTTCTCAACATTTACACGTGAGTAACCCGCGAATTTTAGTTAATTTAGTATGTCTCACGATGGTTATTATAAAAACAGAAATTGTTATGTTCTATATTTAAAATATTGAGTTTAGAACATTCCTAGGATCGATTAGTCCGCGCCATTATTATGGATAATATATGATATAATTTTATTACTTAGCAACACTACACCTTATTAAGTCCATTTAAAAAACAACGTTACTTCTAGACACTAAAGATTATAATCGTATGAAAAGTTGTAAAGTGTATTTGCATGACTGAGTGCTTTGTCCCTTGCGTGTTCGTGTTGTTTACGACTTAAAATACCTACCCCTGATTGGTTACAGCCACAGCAAGCTTTATTTTAACCTTGACCCCTTTCACATAAGAATATTTATCACAACTAATTACGAATATGAATTTCTAGAAATGGGTTTTGTTTATGAGAAAACTATTAAAGTTGATATAGACATCTATTACCATCCTAGGTACCATACTGCCTTTTTTGATGGAGGCAAATCATCAAATTCTCTTGTCCTGAATGGGTGGGGAGAGACGGGAGTGTCAGGCTCTTAATGATTAAAAACCACCCTATTCCATCAAACATTATCCTGGTTGAGCTCCATCTGTGTAGGTCTATTGGATTGGCTTATTGAAGCGCACGCTGAACGCTAGGAGTCTGGTTCTGGTCGGCTGCCTAGCTCGCCATCCGCAGCCCACGATTGCAGTATAGCGGAAAATGTCTAATAAATACCCGCTTTGGTTACGAACGGATGCCATAACCTAACTGATTTTCCCGCTCATGTTTCCATATTTTTTCGACGATAGCAGAAAACTATGATTGATCGGCTGAGCGAAATTGGTTTTACTTAGTGACTGTGGACATTCCTAGATACTACCTAATGCCTCTATTATAGGCAAGTGGGAATAGGTTCCAAATTCAAATTTGTAAGTTTCGCCTACCCTTTGAAAAATGTAGTGGTCCAAAGAGGTAAAGAACTAAAGGTACCTTACCTAGGTGCTTAGAAATAATTTTAATATAATCTCGAATTAATTGGAAAATTCCTGCCTGCATAGGTAGGTACTCACTTCACAAATAAATACCTATTTAACCACATAAGAAAAGCAATTTGGTACCTAGTTAAATTCTTATAAACGAAATCCATTCAATCAAAAACGGAATTGAAATTATTTCATGATTCATTCATTGACACTCTGTAGTTAGGTAATGATTATAGTTATTAATTAAATTATTATAAGTACGGAGTAGCTCACCTAAGTGCGGGATCAGAATTAGACGAATATTCTACAATTTTCATTCATAAAATATTGGAAAATGGTCGTTATAACACTGTAGCGACATCTAGCGCACTACATAAACAACAGCACCAATCACGTGCAAGAGTCTACATCGCGCTATATGAGTTTTCCACACAATTAGCACCTATACAGATATCCCGACAACAACCGTCGGGCAGTAGCCCACCAGGCACGAACACCTCGCCTGGTCGGAGGATCCTCCCTTTTCAATGGAGGATGAGGAACTTACCACCCTGTTCCTCATACCCCTAAATTGGTGACCCCGAGCATGAACATCAACGCAGCCTTCGTGCAACTACGTCGAGCTTTCAAGCAGCGAGTCTACAGTCAGCCTGCTTCCATGGCTACAACGGGTTCCCTGACCACCAGCATGCAGCCAACGCGCATTCCTGGTCAGCACCTACAGCCTCATCAGCATCTTCGGCACAGTATACTGCACCGGCCGGTCAGCAAGCAGAGACGTACTCCCTCTCCTGGTCGACGCAGCAGCTAGCCACTCTTCAGCACCTACAGCCTCATCAGCAACTTCGGCACAGCATACTGCACCGGCCGGTCAGCAAGCAGAGACGTACTCCCTCTCCTGGTCGACGCAGCAGCTAGCCACTCTTCAGCACTGCACCACCCGACTCACTGGGGCATCTTCGCAGACAGATTTGACGCACTGAAACCATCAACTGGCTCGACAAGCATCTCACAGACGACTCAACCAGCTGACGACCTCCGGTCTCGGAGGGGAGTGATGTAGCGACATCTAGCGCACTACATAAACAACAGCACCAATCACGTGCAAGAGTCTACATCGCGCTATATGAGTTTTCCACACAATTAGCACCTATACAGATATCCCGACAACAACCGTCGGGCAGTAGCCCACCAGGCACGAACACCTCGCCTGGTCGGAGGATCCTCCCTTTTCAATGGAGGATGAGGAACTTACCACCCTGTTCCTCATACCTCTAAAACACCAATCGCCGTCATTATGTTTTTTCTCTCTATCTACGTATTTACCCGCTTTGTATTATTTTTAAAATTGCTATCAATGGACAACTTTTGTATATTTCTCAAGTAAATAATAGATATGTAACTAGTTGGAATATGGCGAATTTCTAAAACTTACCTAAGAGTAGGTGTGTACCTACCTTAATATTGTGAAAAAAATACGCGGTAAATTGAGACTTACCAGCAGAACCGTTGAAATGGATTTACAATTCTAAGTTGATAGTCATATGCATGATATTTGCATGCACTTCCACTAAATTTAAGTCTCAAATTAGCGCGATCGACATTGTACATACACAAAAGAAATGTATGGAAATACTAAAGCTAGTTAAGTTTGCACGACTATGTACCTAAGTATAAAAATACTGATTATAAATAATATTTTTCCTGAAATTTCACTTTTTATTATAAAAGCTTTGGCCAAAATACAAGACTAACTTCTGTAATTGTTGAAAAAATTAATATTTTCCAATCCTCTCCTTTATAATTTATTTTAATTGTATTATAAATTATTACTTATTATGAAAATCTATGCAGCTGCGTCCATTATGTAATATCTCAATATAAATAAAGAATATAATTTTATTGATGGGATACAGTTTGAGAAGTGTCAAAATTATAAAATAAATTTGAAGTAATTTTGGTAAATTTTTGTTGTAAATATTTATGTAACAATGATTTTTCTGTTTTCTTATTCATAGAGCCAAATGTCCCATAGACAAATTTGGCGGGAATATTTTCCAACTCACAAAATATTTATTATTGACCTCTCTAAAACTAAATTCGATTAATAAAAATTATGTTATTTAAAAAAAATAATAGGAGTAATAGGAGTGTGCCATTAAATTAAAATATGTACCTACGTCAAAATATTGCATGAATAATATCTGCACCATTTTCTATTTTACACCATAAATTATAAATGCTGTGATTGTGGCTCCTTTAACAAAAAAAAAAACAAAATTTAAGCCAAATTTATTATAAACAACTTCAAAATACTTTAATTTTATGAAAGGAGTGAAATTTCCCTTCTTTGCACCGTCTACAAATAAATAAATAAATGGTATGTGATATTTTGCTGGTTGTATATTTTGCATACATAATTATTAAGAATGACAGCTTTAAAACATAGATAATAAGACCCAATTGTTTATCAAATATATTTGTTTTTTTAATGTTGCAACAAAATATTGTTCTTTTTCAATGTTTTATGGATAATGGAGGAAGTCATTATTGTTACATTTTTTGTTAATTATTTATAATAAATTGTAAGTTGGAATCATTTTAGTAAATTCTATTATTATAAAGATTAAAAATATATATATTTATTGTAAATATTGTATGCAAATAATTTTAAATATTAGCTTAATAAAGATACCCAATAAAAAATGTCTATTTTTATTCAAACTTATTTAGTGACGACAATTAAGCACAAAAGCTTTTGATCATGTACATAAACAAATGTCCCAGAAGGTTAGGTTACTAACAACACTAATAGTAAAGTGCGTACATGAAAAACCTCGTAATTTCAGACAGGCAAACTGACAGACATTAAAACTTTGATGTTATAAAAGTTCACATTTAGCCCCTGGTATGTTGGAACCTCAATTTAAGTGGGACACAATGACACAATGTATATTCCATTGCCTCTCATATTCTGTCAGTATCTCAGTGAAGAAATTAAAGATCAGTTGAAATAAATGCTTTACTTTAGCTTTAGTATGCAGACTTAAAAATCTGCTAGATCTGGCTAAGTATTTTATCAGAGAGAAGTAGAATGATCACCAGATGGTAAGTTCCTAATGCTACTTATGTAGACCCCAAAGAAATAAGTGCATAGCTGGCCTTTCAGAAGCAACTGAATGCACTAGGTTAAGTCTCCGACTGCAGACAGAAAACTATTTAAGGCAAAACTCCTCTGCTACTGTTGGTCACCAGTGAACTATGATTCATTCATTGAAACTCGGTAATGATTATAGTTATTAATTAAATTATTATAAGTATGGAGTAGCTCCCCTAAAGTGCGGAGTCAGAATTAGAGGAATATTCTACAAATTTACATGGTGCTTAACATGTAAAACAAGATTCTCATGAAGCACTGAAAAACAAATGACAGTCTAATCTTAATTCAAAATATAATATCAAGCACACAACCTGATTTATGTGTAAAAAACAATAACAATACTTACTATGTTGAAAGGTATACTGGATAAGAAAACTCAATTTAAGTAAACAAAATATAATTACAGTAAAAAATATTTCTTAGTTGTCTATATTGGAATGAATGATCACCATCTCAGACCCTTTTCTTGTAAGTCTCGTCTAGCCTCTTTAATTTCTTCCTGTAACTCCTTGGCTGCTTCTTCGCAGTTATTGAACGTAAATACTCGATATAATATCACAGTTACCGCATACAATCCAAAAAGTAGTACGAATATGACAGGAGATACAAGGATTAAAGTCATGTTTTTCTCAATCATTGGATGTTTTACATAACCAGCAACCAAGGAATACCACACTGCGACGAACGCTGAGAGCACTGAAACCCACTCGAGTAATTTCGTCATTGTTCTGAAAGAAAATGATACCAAAATAAATTAAAATTACAATTAAAATTGCATAAACAAAGCATTGTTTTTTCGAACATTATTTGTAGGTTAACCACTTACCTGAAGAAAAGAACTTATTGCACTAGTGAGTTTTTAGTCCGTGATTATTTCAGGAGTTATCATATAATACCACGTATTTTTTTGCGAAAGAAAATTACAGTCGGCAAATCCAAAACACATCACCACTGTCCAATTTGACAAATTTGTTGAACCAACTGACAGTGACATGTTTGACGTTTTTTTGTTTTTGAGTTTCTGGCCTGAATTCAGGTCCTTTAAGCCAAGACGTTTTTTTCATTTTCAAACGATTTTTCATTAGGTTTTAAAAATGCTAAAGTAGCGACACAACCGTAAAAATGTAAGTAATCCCGAACTTATGAAATCCAAACCAAAGCCACAATATAACATATTTTTAAATAAATATAAATAGTACATAATCATTATTACTAAGATACTGTAAAATCCAAAGACCTTGTACTTAAAAGAGTATAAGGTCTTTGGTAAAATCAACTTGACCATAGGCAAGCAAAATACCTTACTTTTGTCTTTGGCCAACTCTATGAGTTCACCTATTTTGACGTCTAACTAAGCGTCTAACTGACATTACAAAATACAAAAGAAAACAAAAAAGTTGTAAAAACGCGAGCAACAGCTGCAGTTTTATTTTCATTTTAATTGAATAAATCTAATTTTAGATTTTACAAGATGAACGAGATTGACGATAAATTTTATTACGTGTATAGTTCGTCTTTAGATCATAAAGTGCAGATAAAGATGTAAGTAAAATTTTCTTCCTAGTATTTACAGATTACCTACGTATTTTCTATAAGCATTTTCATTGTTTGTCTTGCGAAATATATAGTTACGGACTTTCATTTACTTAACGGTTCAATGAGCATACCGCAAGTAGCAAATTAGATGACCTACTAATAGAGATAATTTTAATTTTAAGATATTTTTAAAATACATCGTTATCATAACGATAAATTAATGTGGACTTTATGATGGAATGTTGTTTTAAATCACGGTGGCTAGGTTACTGATTGCAGTCATAAACATTTTCAAAGTATGTGAATGGCATGAACATGTGTGATTATAATTACCCTCACTTAAAAATTACTACCCATAAATTTAAACTTTTACAAAATATAACCTTGTATTGTCCACAAAGCATTCTTCTTATCTATTTTTCGATTTGTAATAAAACCTATTAGTTCCAAACCTCCTCAGTTCAGATTTAATTAAATAACATACAGCTGTATCTAAGAGAAAAGTACCATAGAAGAGAAACATTGAATTATCCTCTTTTGACTAATATTTTTAACCTTTATCAGTGGCACCCTAGAAGGAAAGAGAGCCAAGCCAGAGTATGACCAGCTCCTCACAGATCCTATGCTCAAGTTCTCTGGCCTCTGCCAAGAAGGATGCTCGGACTTATATGTGACATGCCAGATTCTGAGTGACAATCAACCCCTGGCACTACCAGTCACCACCTCTTACAAGTCCTTTACCAATAGATGGAAGTAAGTAAAAGTTTTGTCAACAATAAAATTTTATGTCTCAACATTATCTAAAAAGTAATTCTCGCTATTTTTGAACTCACAATGTTGTTAGATGATTTTGTTATTGTGTGGTGGAGATTTCATGAAGAACATGATCACGTCGGGGTCACCAATGTTACTGTGAGGTCGGGTTATGTGTGTGGAGACAAGTGATACGCTAGAGAGTCTAGTGCCAACTGTTTTTGTGTGTCTGTGTGTCCCCACAATTGCAGCGACTTTGAAAAAGGGCAACAACAGTTATTTTAGTTACAGTAAGAATGGGGGTGTCTACTAAAAGTACCCTCAAACAGCTTAACAATTTTTTATCTATCAATTGGCAAGATAAAATTAATGAAAATAATTATTACAGATTTAGTTTGCTCACTACAAAATGATACCTTTTTAACCCCCGATGCAAAAAGAGGGGTGTTATATGTTTGACATGTCTGCCTGTCTGTCTGACTGTCTGTCTGTCTGTCTGTCTTTCTTTCTGTCTTTCTGTGGCAACCTAGAGCCTGAACGGGTGAAGCGATTTCAATTTAGTTTTTTTTTTGTATTAAAGGTGACTTATTAATATTATTAATTGATAATAATACTAAAGGACTTTAGACTTGAATAGTTTATAATTATTTTTGTAATAATAAAATAAAACGAGTCTGAAGTGAACACCTGTGTTAAATTCTTGCTTTTTATTAAAAGTATGATTACATTAAATTGTATAATAATTATTATAATAACTAATGTAGCCATCTACTTATAGATCTAATTTACATATCAATAATTTTTGATTTTTTTATGTAAAATGATTTGAGACTTAGGTCTGAATTTTTGCTGGTCCAGTCAATTTGTTTTTATTATAATTATTTATACTAGACTGTAGAAGATATTTAAAACATGACATACAATCTTTATATTCAGTATTTCTTATATAGGTATTATAACAAAAAGTATTATTATATTATGATAAAATATATAGCTCAACAGAATCCTTAGGAAAAGCTAAAACATTTGCGTCTTTGTTTGATTTTTGTAAACAAGCATGAAGGTACTTTTAGATATGAAAAACTGTATTAATTGTCCATTTCTTTTCTTAAGCGGAAGAAAATAAAAGAAAAATTCATACCAGTTTATTTAATCCAAACAAATTTTATAAATGCGAAAGTAACTCTGTCTGACTGTCTTTCTAAACAACTGAACCGATTTCTGTGAAATTGGTACAGGCATAGTTTGGAACTTCGAAATGGAGTCGCAGGCAAAAGCTAGTCTATAAATAAATCGTAACTAAATGAGTACCTAGGTATTATATTACTGTACTAGTTACTAGTATAACCTTCAAGGCTTAACCTAGTACTAGACATACAAAGTCAAAGTCAAGTCCCAACAAACTACAGGGCCGGTGGAATTGGTCACTTAATATCATGAATTACTTTAATACCTAACCTAGCAGTTTTGTGATAGAGTTGGAAATGGATTAATGCATTTTTTGAATTAGTAGCCTATTCCAGTTGTTACCATAAAGGTTTGATTCCTAGCTTGGCAACAAATGGCAGTATTGCTGTGATACTACTGGCCCTTTTACAATTTCTATAAACTTATATGACGTTAACTAGCGAGCTACACAGCAATGTAAGGGCAGCACTTATGGAGTGCACCTTAGCCTTTCAATCGTGGTAATTAAAAACACAATAGAAGAACAATAGGTGCGCGAGCGCCGGCGTTCGCGTCGGGTTTGATATATTACTGCCACTTGTTGCTGACTTCGGAATCTTTATCAGGACTTACAGCTGAAATTCTTGAATGGAACCTATTTTATTGTATTGCCATTTCCTGATCAAACGGTCTAGGCATATTAATTTGGTAGCTTAGCTACAATTTTCTGTATTCTACCCTCCAAGGAGTTGATTTATTTCTACAGATAAGAAATAAAATATGGTCTAATGTTGCAAATGTTTTTACTAATCTGGGCCACAAAAATATAACTTATTCCATACAAGAAGCGTAGCTCCGATAACTTCGATAAATAATTGACAGTTCCTTCTCCTGCTCCAAGCCAGGCCGCGGTTCATTATTGCACTTGTTATCTCGGCCCCTGCTATACGTCGGCCCTATTGGGCCCCATCTGTGGTAGTCTAATGGTTCATCAAGGCGTGCATGGAACGCGATGTGTTGAACCCTCGGGTATGGTTCTGGTCGGGCGTCTAACTACCCTTCCTCGCCTTCGACTACCTGGCGCTTACGGGCTTACGGTGGCTGGTCATCGTAACTAAGATCCCTTACTTAGCTACACTTATGCAGCTAGTTGAGCACGAGATCATTCTGCATAAAAATATTTTTTTTTAATTAACCTCTCTTATTTTTTCGACAGTTGGAACGAATGGGTGACCCTACCAGTGTTCTTCAGCGACCTACCCCGCAACGCCACGCTCGCCATGACGATATATGACTGCGCTGGTCCAGGGAAAGTAATGGTCGTTGGTGGAACCACAATATCTCTGTTTGGGAAGCATGGAATGTTGAGACAGGTTAGTAGAAGAGTATTTTTTGATTGAGGTTGCCACTTTACTAAAATGCGTCCAGAGTCCACCCCCATACCTCCCAGCTACCAAAAGAACGCCAACGTTCTTGCAACTCCTCTGGTTTTGTAAATGTCCACAGGCGACGCTGATTGCTTACCATCAGGTAATCCGTTTGCTTGTCTACCACTCTATTCCATAAAATAATGATTTGTTGATTGCTTCAAAGCGACCGATAGCGATCAATCTAAATTTTAGAGGTTATTGGGGGCGGCCTTAATGCTTAACTTGAGCTTGATAACTTCACAATGTCACACCACATGGGGAGGTAGGGGGTAGATGAAGTGTGATATTACGATATGTGACAAGGGGTGTGAGAGGGTCTTGAATTTGTCACTTTACCAATATTTTAAATTAACGTTTCACAATCTACTCTGTAAACTAAACCGAGTGGAAGATTTCTTGTAATGTTGTTTATTAAGCGCTGATTTTTCAGTGGTTAGATAAAAGTTACCTGGGGAATAATTATGATGCTGTCACGTCAGAATGTTTGAATAAGACAGTGACAGCAACAATTTTATTCGTCAGATAACATTTACCTGACTATTGAAAAATCAGCCCTTAGTTTTATTTAAAGTTAATTTTAATTGATAGAAGACACAAAAGAAGAAACAGTAGACACTGCCTCAAATAAATTAAGATTTCGTGACAAGAATAAAATTGTAAAATGTCACAAACGTGACGAGATTAGTATTTTTCCTTCAAAAAAAAAATACGCTTTTTAGATTATAAGTAAGTATAGTAATTACTCCAGCCAGGGTTACTGTGGCCTGGCTCGCAGTAGAAGAAAGAACGGAGTAGTTTTAGTCAGTAACAGTCCGACACCTGACACTCCCTTTCTCGTCCTATCCACGACGGAAGAAAATATACAATACCAAAAAAATTTAGTCATTAAGCACTACTCTGGTTGCCACAACGATTTACATACCGTGGATTAGGTTAGGTGTGAGTGAAAAACACGGATCGAACTAGACGTCTTAGTACAAAAGGTTATCGCTGTTTTCAATTAGCTACATATTATCATTATCAACTAGCGACCCGCCCCCACTTCGTACGCATATCCGACTACCAAACTAATTGTCCCCTCTACTTTTCTAAAACTTTCTTTCATAAGAACCTTCTCCTGACATAGGAATCCTTCCAGAAATGCGCGCAATCTTAAAAGACAGGCAACGTGCGGGCGGCGCTGATCACTTACCATCATGTGATCCGTACGCTCGTTTGCCTCCGATTCCATGAAAAAACAAAAAGAATTTACAAAATAACTCTCGCGCGGTTTTATCCGCTGCTTGGCTCCTGTAGATCGTGTTGTTTAATAGCCACATAAAAATAACTGTTCTATAAGAACCAGTAGTTCCGGAGATTAGCGCGTTCAAATAAACAAACATACTCGGCAGATTAATATTCTTAGTACAGATGATAAATACGATTACAGATCAATTATTTTATTGATATTTGTCATTCAAGATTACGCCAAGGTGTTGCAAGAATGTAGTACCTAGTAGGTACATAATAATTTGTTGTCGCATAGTCCACGTAGTTTGAAACTGCAGTACAGGATACAGGATGCAGAAAAATATTGACATAATATAATTACGCGGGTATCAACGCGAAAAGTAATTATTTATATACCAGCAGTTGCAAAAAGTCTGCTTGCGACCACGACCAGCGCAACCAACTTACCAAGTTTAAAAGTTAATGCAGAAAAATATACTTGATCCTCTTTCTGTTGCCTCTTTTTACGAGGACAACATCATCAAATGGCTTCTCTCGAGAAGAAAATGTCGATCTCTTACTAAAGACCGCCCCATTCCTTTTCCTTCTCCAGGCCGAGGCTGCCTTACGTTATTTCACTTGCACTTGCAAATCCAAGCAGAGAATTGAGACTTAAGAAGTTTCAATCTTGTCATTTAAGTGTGGGAGAGCCAAGCTTTGGCACAAATGGGTCGGCTCGACCGGAGTGATAAAACAACCACAGCGTAGTGTTTCGCCATGTGAGTGAGGTTACCGGAGGCCCAATCCCGCCCCTTCCCCTATCCCTTCCCGATCCTTATATCTGCAACCCGTATCCCCAAAAGGCCTGCAACGAACTCGTAACTCGACCGTCTCGAACCGACCGACCGACGACGAACCGACTCGAACGAGACCATTTTGCTACTCGTACATAAATTGGACACAGAAAAATAAACATTAACAATAAAAAATACAGTGTAAGCAAGGGGTCCATCTCAGTACCTATATGCTGGTATCTGTTAATATCTGTAACTAAAAATCATTTAGAGCGAATATAGTACGTGTGTGAACAATATTATGTAAAACTTTATATAGGAATAAATAAACAGGTCCTATAACGGCGATAAGTGTGGGAGAGCCATGCTTCGGCACGAATGGGTCGGCTCGACCGGAGTGATACCACGGCCTCACAGAAAAACGGCGTGAAATAACCACTGCGTTGTGTTTCGTCGTGTGAGTGAGGTTACCGGAGGCCCAATCCTTCCCCTTCCCCAATCCCTCCTCAATCCCTAAATCTCCAAATCCCTAATCCCTAAAAGGTCGGCAACGCACTCGTAACTCCTCCGTTGCGAGTGTCCATGGGCGGCGCTGATTGCTTACCATCAGGTAATCCGTCTGCTCGTCTGCCGACCAATTACATAACAAAAAAAAAAAAAAAAAGGTACGTAGGCGAGTCGAGTCTGAATATTCATTTATAGAAACTATAGAAAGTTATATAATATAAAAATATGTTTTTAACAAACTTGGAATATGATTAACCTACTAAAATAGTTATGGTTGATTTATATTTTTGAAACCGGATAAACTCGTATCTTTCTATTGATTATGCTCCAGTTTATTAGATATTTTGATATTATATTTAATTAAAGAGAAATATTAACTCATTTTATCTGAAATAGATACTTGAGTAGACATTTCTAGCAAATTCTTTTCAATTTACCTGCTCTGACACTAAACGCAATCGCAATGTTAAATAAATAAAACAAAAAATCAAACAGATAAATTATCAAACTGTTTGTACGCTCATAACTTCTAAACAACTGCATCACATTTGAGGATTCTATAGTAATTTTTGTTTTTATTCGACTGATTCATTGAGCAGGTCAGGTATACTAACACTGTGTAGATAAAAAGGAGTCGAAATACATTAAAATAGACAAACAACTGATAGTTTGCTACTTTAATTAATATCAACCATTAATTTTTATTTGTTTTTAAAACGAAGCAGAGTTATCCATCAATACATTGTTATTCTCAATATTTTTATGACAAACTAGCGGCCCGCCCCCGCTTCTCACGGGTCCAACTATCTCGCTATCAAAGGGTCACTTTTTCCTAATCTTCCCCTTTACTTTTCTTATATTTTCTTTGATAAAAACCTTCTCCTGACAATAACCAACATCACAAAAAAAGAATTAGCAAAATTGGCCCAGGCGTTGTTGAGTTACGCGCTTACCAACACATTTTGCGATCCATTTTTATATATAAGAAGACATGCATTAATTCGTTTCACTTCTGACTAATATGTGGTTGTTTTTTTAACCGTTTATCTCAAGAATATGTAATAGGATATTTATTGTATGTATATGACCTGGCCGATACAAGGGAACATTCGCATAAACATCGCTCTCTGGAAAAAGCCACTCGGTTTACAGTTCAGTCTCCTTACAACACTGACGCGGCGTGACGTGTTATAAAAAAATGACTGCCAAAAGTCGTTAACATAAATAATATATAACAAGATTTAATAATAATAATAATATATAACAAAATGTCACTGTAGATCAGATGTGCCGTCATTTGAAGTGAAAAATTCAGTGTTATGAATGTACCCGCGTTTTTTTGTGTAAATGTTAAACAGAAAGTTTTAAATTTTAATCAATCATGACGCGTGATACCAATTGTTGATTGTAAATAAATAATTATGGGTAAAACATTCAGCACCTTGCAAGTTTGCAAGGATTGCTATCTTTCTTTAGTTTGTCGATTAAAAACGTTTTGTTTTGAATTGAAAAAGGGTATGTTCGACCTTCGAGTGTGGCCTGGCGTGGAGGGCAGTGAGAAGACTCCAGGCAAAGCCCCCGACCGGGGCAAGGAACAGATGCAGCGATTGGCTAAACTGGCGAAGAAACATCGAAATGGACAAATACCTAAGGTAACTATTTTAGTTTTTTGTAACTTAATTCTACTATTTTTTTTATATATATTGTAACTACAATAGTTCTTGTTGTGCTAGTAGGTACTTGATTTTTTTCTTTATTATTGTTAACAGGCACATTAGATATTTTAGGTTTATAATAAACCTATGTAGGTATGTGGTAGCACAAAGAGAAAAAATCATGGTATTTGGAATCGATTTAGGTTATTTTCAATTCTATATAATGATGTCAAATCTAATATAATATCGTATTATAAATGTTTGAGTACTTTTATACATATGAGTATTTAGATTATTTTAGATACTGTTTAACCAAGTTTTCATAAAACACTTAAACTTTTATAAAAAAAATGTGTTCTATTCTCCTTTGAAATAGGTATAAAAACATTTTTTTTTCTATTATTATCAAAAAATATTGTGAAAAAGTTTCCACTCTCTGGATTATGTCTTATGTCGTAGATGCGTCTCCAAACATACAATTTATAAACACATCGACAACAATTTGTGGATCGCATAAATATTGGTTCCGCTAGGGAATCGCAACAGGCAGTAGGTCAGTGGGCTTTGTTGGAACATTATTAAGGTGTTGTATCCTTTTTGGTAAAGTCAGTGTCAGATTGTAACGTCATGATTTCACTTCTTTTTTTTTAATAATGGGTCGGCAAACGAGCAGATGGATTAAGAGTGCGTTGCCGACCTTTAGGGATTAGGGATTTGGAGATTTAGGGAATGGGGGGAGGGGAAGGATTGGGCCTCCGGTAACCTCACTCACACCGCGAAACACAACGCTGTGGTTGTTTCACGCCGGTTTTCTGTGAGGTCGTGGTATCACTCCGGTCGAGCCGACCCATTCGTGCCGAAGCATGGCTCTCCCACACTAAAATAGATAGACGGGCACCTATAATAAATTTGTTTTAGTATTGTCAGTGAGACTAATAATATGACATTTAGTTTTTATATCCATAACATAATATTACACGGAGGAGGCCCCCTCCATTTCCTCGCACCATTCCTCCTCAATCTCTGAATTTCCGGAATCTACAAGATTGCACTTGGCCGCACGTTACTTATTTGGTATTATGGGTGGGCGGCGCCGACTGCTTACCATCAGGCAATCTATCTAGCATAGCAGCCGGTTGCCCAACCACAACGTCAACTGTGCATTCGAAAACAAGAAGTGTACGAAACAAGTTTTACTTCACATTCATCAAAGATGTTAATGCACTAAAAATATTATCTAAAAAATAATTGAGATCCGAGGTCATCTCATCTGTAGTAAGATAAAGGAAATAAAATCTTATCTCAATCTATTTTAAATATTTATTGTTCTAATGGTGTTAGATACAGCTGGTATCGATGACGATAATTATCTTTGAAATGCATATCTTTAGTGCTAATCTATTTTATTAAAAAGTCAAATATTAATACAGGAAGATAATATTCATAGCTGACGTATGTATGTGACGTATTTTTGTATTATACATATTATTAATTACGTAGCTTCCTAGGTCAAAAATAAATTAATTCGACGTTTCAATAAAATAAAATATTATAAAATAACTATAGGTACCTACCTATAGTATCAACATTCATAAAAGTAGACACCTATCTACTTTTATTAATCGATCTGTCGATGCACAAAATTTTCGATATTTTTACCTAAGTTTTAGAAATAAGTTAGCAATTTGACGCAAAATACTATGACGTCATAACTTGCAGTTTCATAGTATTGTTTTTGACATTTGGATAAAAGTATTGAATTTGAATAGTTGGAAACTACCGTATTGTATGTATTTAATAATTAGATTAGATTATTTAAAATTCTAGTTATTATTAGGATATTAGGTTCTTCATTTGATAGAAATAGCCGTGAAAATTATATAGACTGGAATTTACTTGCCAACTACTGGAATACACTTGTCTCTCACAATAGACCAACATATTAGTTACGGTACAAAAGTGCTTTTTTTTAACTATATCCCCCTATTATTTCCTCCTGTGTCCTGGGTTTACATGCAACTTCACAAACACAAGCTACCCTGCTAGGGTCAGGGTAACAACAAATTGTGTATCACAGAGTTGTTCCGTGAATCCGAATCCGCGATACGATGCGCAGCAGCCGCGCCAATCTTACAGTCAATTGTTTCATTTTATTTTACCTATACTCTATACTAATATTATAAAGAGGTAAAATTAGTAAGTATGCATAAAGGGGGTAATCTTTGAAACCGCTGGTCGGATTTCCAAAATTCTTTCACCGATAGGTAGCTACAATGTTCCTGAGTAATATAGGCTATAAAACATCACGCTACAATCATATGGAGCAGCGGGTGAAACCGCGCGAGAGTAGCTTAGTTATAGACAATTTCATCATTTCAAGCCCTATATGACACGCTGAATTCATCCTTCTACCCACGCATGATATGCCTCTTCAGAAATAAGCTGGCTAACTGCCTGGTAGGAAGTCTAGTATCTTGTCGAGAGAAAGAGTTCAACCTGGAATAATGGCTAAATCTACTCACATACGGTGCTACATGGAGTACTGCTCTCATCTTTGGGATGGCTCGGCTCGATACCAGTTAGGCACATTAGACTGATCAACGAAATTGCGCTAGTCGAGGTCCTTTAATGCCTCGATCGCAGGACTTGTAAAAGGCTTTCGGTTTTTTATTAGATTCCTTTTTGAGAAGAGTCGCGCCTGTTATTCTTCTGGCGTTGATATCATACGACACGTCTCTCGTTTTTCTATTTGAAAAAAAAATGCATTAATTCAAAACTACATTTTAGGCAAATTGTGATTGGTTTTTATCAATATTGAATACCCTACTGCACTATTTTTCTTTTAAAAATAATTCTCCTCTGTTCATCAGAAATCCTCCTTTACGATATTTGCAATAAAGTCCTAATTGCAATACAGCAATAGGTATCTTCGCTACTGATTGGATATATTCACATTCCTGCAATATGACGGGCGTATGACCGTGTTATGACGAATGGTTTGAGTGACGTGAGAGGGCGCACGATAACGGGCCTGCATGACCCCCTGCGACTTGGTTGCTATGACGCTTACTTAGTATGCACATGCATTGCACTTGTATGCAATGCATGTAGAATAAATGGGTATACAAGATCTACCTACATTATTCTTAGAGGCCAGCTTAAAAGCACTTATTTTATACGATTTTGAATTTTATATTTTTGGTGTGAAGTCCAAATTGCAATGAAACATTAACATATAAGATGGGTTGCCACGTGAAGTGGCATACATAACTAGTGAATAGTTATATAATATTACTAGCTACTGCTCGGCTCCATTTGATCGTAGCGTGATGTTTTATAGCCTATAGCACTCAGGAACATTGTAGCTATCTATGAGTGAAAGAATTTTGGCAACCCGACAAGCGGTTCCAAAGATTATCCCCTACATAGAAACGTACCTCTTTGTAATATTAGTATAGATACATACATATGTACATATCGTCGCGCCTTTTGATTCCTGAAAGACTAAGGAAAGCAACAAAGCAACTACCACCACCTGTTGAGTGTAATAATGCCCATGCCCAAGATTGGGTTTGATTACATTTTTTGGAATAACAAAAAAAAAATCTTGTCCCGGTACTCAGACACAAAACTTATTGCTCAACATACACCAATAAAACAAGAAGGCATTCAAATTCTAAACTTTAGCCGAAAATGCATCCAAGGAAAATGTGATAAAACTAGTTTCTTACTATTAAAAAACGTCAGAGAACCTTTTCAAAAATATTATGTTGTATTGATTTTTTTTATATAAATCTGACTATATTTTAGTAACTACTCTTATTGAAAATAAAAAGAATAATCAACACTTTCTATAACATAATATCTCCTATGTTATTGCTTTTTTAAAAAGTAACATAACAGTTTTCTTTCTAGAATTATTCATTTATGTTTTACCAAGTATAATAATGGGCCCGTCAACTAATATTTGCTTAAATCTCGAATAAATCAATATCAAATGACACTTTCTATTTCATAATAAATTTACACACCATTTATAAATAAAAACTAGTAAAAACAAGTTTATAGGCATAGAAAAATCAACCTTAACACCTATAACATAAAATTCATAATTAATTATAAAGCTATAACAAATAAGGAGTTATGATTTTCTGTACTATTATTTAAAAATGGTCTTTAATAGCTTTTGAATTAAATGTAATTTTGTTTACCAGGTGGATTGGCTGGACAGACTAACGTTTAGAGAGATCGAAATGATCAATGAAAAGGAAAAAAGGAGTTCGGATTACATGTATCTAATGATTGAGTTTCCAACAGTCCATATTGATGGGATTAATGTAAGTATTATTCTAATTATACCTTTTTTGTGAGGGGAAAATCATCAGATTACCTACTTCTCCCGCCCAGGTTGTGGTGAGAGGAAGTGTCAGAATCTTACTGACTAAAAACCCCCCGTTCCTTCTCCTGCTCTGGGCCAAGGTCGCGGTGCCTAATTGCGCTAGCCCCTCAACCTCGGCTGAACATCAGCCATATGTCCCCTGTCTGGGGTGGTCTATTGGCTTTTTGAGGCGCGCGCGGAACGCTACGCGCCGGACGCTTGGGTCTGGTTCTGGTCGGGTGGCGAGCTACCCTTACTCGCCGTCCGCAGACTTTACAATACCTATTACAATAGCGGAAGATTTGCACTCAATAGTTTTCTGTCGGCAGTCAAAGTTTTAACCCTCCTTAACGCCTAGTTTAAACTCCGAGCATTTTTTAAACAGCCTTGCTTGCTTTATGTGATCGTTTGCTTAGAGTGAAAATGGCAACACCGAATGAGTTCTGAGTGCATTTCTAGCCTTTTGTGAGTTGTTATGCATTTAAGGATTGAGGATTTGGGTTGGCTTAGGATAGAGCCTCCCATAAACTCAGTCACTCTGCGAAATAAATCGTGTTTCTGCAAGACGTGGTATTATCACTCCGGCCGGGCCGACCCATTTGTGCTTAGATTTTCGCTGTATTCCGTAGTTTCTTAAGTTTTATTTGAAATTATTGCATCACATTGTGCAATAGATTTAATAATAGCCAACTATATTTAAATGCCCCATTGTCATTTAAGTCCTATTTGATACATGAACATAACAGATACGAAATTACTTAAATTTCTCGAATAAATTGGAATCTTGATTTACAAGTTTCCTTAAGTGAAAAACTAATGTTTCATACATTAGTTTTTTACGTTTTTTTAATAATAAAAGGTTATACGGCGTATGTATTTTTCGATTAGGTATGCTTTTTATTTGAATGTAGGCTTTCAATCGAGTCCGTGCTTTCATCAAGTGACTGACAATTTTTGATATATTTTTTTAAAGCTCATGTTTCTAGTGTATTCCTATTAATATAGACGCGAAAGTTTGTAAGTATTGATAGATGTTTGTAACTGTTTTGCGTAAACATACAAAACGGATATGGATGAATTTGGCACGGAGATAGATTATAGTCTGGAATAATACAATACATGGCCTACTTTTTCCATAGTACGTAAGGATAAAGACTTTTTAAACTTTGTCTCACACACAAGGTTCCTCTTGCGTCATAGGTGCATTCATAAACCTGCAAATTCACATACACAAGCCATCCGAGCCCGAAACAACAATTTGTGGATTACACGTGCGAGAATCGACCCCGCCACACGTTGCACAGAAGCCAATGGTCCCGTCACTGCGTCATTCGTGCCAGTCAACTTTGGCAGAAGCGAAAACGAGTTGACGGATTACCTGATGGTAAGCAATCAGCACCGCCCATGGAAATGCACAACAACAGAGGAGTTTGCCGACAAGGGCTTTGCCGACCTTTTAGGGGATTTGGGGATTGGGGGAGGGGAAGGATTGGGCCTCTGGTAACCTGGTTGTTGTGTGGTCACCCACATGGCGAAACACAACGCTGTGGTTGCTTCACGCTGGTTTTCTGTAAATTGTTACGTTGCTTTCAGTATTTCAATATTATGCAGTTTGTTAAAAGATTGTTTTTTTTGTTTTAGCATGCGATCGTGTACTATGAACAAGATGGTGATGAAATGTATCAGTTCAGAGCCCAGGCAGACATTGTTACCGTGCCAGACTACGAGATCCTTCAGGTATGGTACCATTTTTATTCATTTTGATGTTATTTTCTGTTTAAAAGTCTTTTATATCGAGACTTGTCATCTGGTTAAGATAAACGACCTTCATGTATGTTTCCTTGAGAACTATAACTGGAATGGTTAAAGTTACTAAATTCCGGTAGTAAGTGAGAGTGTCAGACTCTTATTGACTATCCATCGGATTTTTTCTCCTGCTTTGAGCGCGCTTGAACTCGCAACCCCAGGTAGACGTCGATCCTAATGAGTATCATTAGTGGTGGACTCTTGGCTCTTTGAGTACGGGTGTTTAAGTTCTGTTTAAGTTGTGGTCGGATGGCGACCTACTTTTGTTCGCTGCCTGCAGAGCTGGGAATAAGTCAGTCATGTTGCTCAATTGAGTGTGGTTTCTAGGACGCTAAATCTGAAGGTGTCTGATTTTCATGGCTCATACTCTTAACCAAACCATATAGTGTAATTATCTAACTAATATTATATTCATCTTTGATATTCTTTCACGAAAAAGCTACTGAGTGTTAGTGGATTTTGACGAAATTAATCCAGAATAGTAAATAGTCATCATAATCGTTGTGTGGTGGTGTAGGAGAACGTAGTAGAGAGCAAGCAGCACCGTCTGGCGCGGTCGCTGCGTCCGGGCGTGTCCCGGCGCGACACCAAGCCTTCCGCCGCCGAGCGGGACCTGCTCGCCGCGCTGCTCGCCGCGCCCGCAGCGCGACCCCTCACCGCCACCGACCAGGACCTGCTCTGGAAGTACCGGTAAGTCGGCTTACTCATATTTGTGATGTAGGTCATTTTATATTTATAAAAATAAGTGGCTATATTCAACCTTGCATGTGTGAGCCAGTGTCTCAATATATCTGTTACACGATTGACGTGGTTTTACTGTAGCTGACTTCCCGGTGTTCCCAGTGTCCAGATATTCTTCAATATTATATATAAATGCAAAAGTTACGATGTTTGGATATTTTGCTGTTTGTTACTCAATCACGCCAAAACGGATGGGTGGATCTAGATGAAATTTGGATCAGACATAGGATACACTTCGGTATAGGACATAGGCTACTTTTTACCCACCCACATACCACGCGGACGAAGCCGCGTGCGGAAGCTAGTCAGCCTATAAGTGCCCACTGCTGAGCAAAGTCCTCTTCTCAAACGGAGAAGATTTGAGCATAACCCACCACGCTTGCTCTAGCCGGATTGGTAATTTCAAACTTATGATTAGAATTTATAAAGTCCAGGTTTCAAAGAAAAAGCAAACTTTTTATAATTGGCAAAAAGATGAAAAAATCTCCAAAGTTATGGTGAAAATATTATGGCCTGAGATACCTATTGGCTAATGAGCTAAAGGATTACCTGATGGTAACCAATCGGGCCGCCCATGGACACTCTTAATACCAAAGGAGTTTATTTATTTATTTATTTATTCATATTGCACAATGTACATATAATGTCAAGTATAACATACAGCCAGTACAGTACATTACCCTGTTAGGGCGCAGCAATTTAACTTATAACTAGATAGTAATACATGTTATATTTTTTATTACATTAGTTATCACTTCAATATCACAAACACTTTTATGCATTATTATAAAATATAGTTCACATTAACTCACTACGTTATTAAAGTTAGCTAAAAATTATTACTAGACGAGTGCGTTGCCGACCTCCTGGTGATTAAGGATTTGGAGGTTTAGGAATTGGGAGAGGAAGAATTGGGTCTCCGGTAACCTCACTCACACGGTGCTGTGGTTGTTTCACGCCGGTTTTCTGTGATGCCGTACTCAACATAATAAACTACGCATCTGATTCCTTTGTCTATTCGATTCTCATTTTTAATACGTATGATAACCTTCATTCTTCGTGAGCATAATTAATTACTCGTTGAAGTACATATTTGTGAATATTCTATTCAACAATTCTTTATAAATCACGCGATAGACACGTAAGTACGGTCGCTACATTAGATCAATATAAACAGACTGCTTCGAGTACCGAAAAATACGTAAAATATATTTAAAGACCGGCAACGCATATGTCACCCCTCTAGTGTTACGGTTTTCCAAGTCATTTCATTCACCACTAGAGTGGATACCACGCCTCAAAAAAAACCGGCGTGAAACAACCAGAGCGTTGTCTCGTCGTGTGTTTGAGGTTATCAAAGACCCAATCCTTCCTCTCCCCCAATCCTTAAATTGCCAAAACCCAAATACCTGAAAGATCAGCAAAGCAATCGGAACTCTTTCGATGTTCCATGGCCGGCGCTGATTGCTTACCATCAGGTAATCTATCAGCTCGTTTGCCGTAAAAAAAACAACTCGTATAAAGTTCCCACCTATCCTTTGTAACTCTCAACCTGCGTTCCAAATGTGGACGTCATTCCAAGATATTGTTTCATTGTTCTTCCACCAGCTGTTCATGGAAGATTGGAAATTGTAATCTCCATAGTAAATATATACTCACATTACTTCCTTGTTTCAGATTCTACTTGTCATCGCATCGCAGAGCTCTTACAAAGTTTCTGGAATGCGTCAACTGGAATCGGCCGGGTAAGTTTATAGTCTATTACTTTATTTCTTGGCGTGGATGAGCAAAACGACCTGCCTGTGTCTGTAGATACAGTTCTTTCTATTGGATTTTAAATTTTACCTCAATTTCTATTTCATTAAAAGTCGAATAAAGAAGAATGCTTCGGCACAAATAGGTCGGCTCGAAGGGCGTGATAACACGGCCTCACAGAAATCTGCGTGAAACAATCACAGTGTTGTGTTTCACCGTGAGAGTGAGGTAACCGGAGGCCCAATCCGTCCCCCTCCCCCATCCCCTCCTTAAATATCCGAAACCTTTATCCCTGAAAGGCCGGCAACGCACTCGTAACTCCTTTGGTGTTGCGGGTGTCCATGGGCGGCTTTGAAGGTAATTATCTTCTCGTTTGCCGACTTATACCATTAAAAAAACAATCAAACCTTTCCTTTTATAATATAATGTTTCTTAAAGTATTTAGGTATATTAACCACTCATAGCATACTTAATTTATAAAAATAAACGTTTTATTAAATTGCTACGGCATTTAATCTAATCTGGCACGCGTTTTATACACAACAAAGATCCGATTCTTTTTATATAAGTCCTAATTAGATAATTATGTCGAATAGTGACCTCAAATATACTTCAATGAATTCTTTGGTGATAATATAATCTAAGACGTTGCTTTACTTGTATACATAATATTATCACTGTAGTACAACGAGTACAAGTATCAGACATAGTACAACTAGAACTCTTATATCCAGATACGGGATATGGCGGCAAATGAGCCGATTACCTGATGGTAAGCAATCGGCGCCGCCTAACATCTAACACTTCATGGTAGGCCTACTGAGGAGTTAAGTGGGTTGTCGGCTTTTCGGGGATTTAGGGTTTGGAGAGAACATCATCATCATCATCTTCCTTCCCTTGTCCCGTTTTATTTGGGGTCGGCGCAATATGTTTTTTTCTTCCATTCTGTCCTGTCACTCGTCACGCTATCGCTAACTCCTCTGTCTTCCATATCACTTTTCACACAATCCATCCATATTTTCTTTGGTCTCCCTCTCCATCCATCCACATTTATACTCATGGTTTTTTTTTGTAACATGCGTTTCATCCCTCCTTTTCACATGGTCATACCAAGACAAACGGTTCCCTTTCAACTTTTCAGTCACTGGCGCAACTTTCAAACTTCCTCTAATACACACAAGGTTTTTAGAGAACATTGGGCCGGTAACCTCACTCCCAAGGTGTAACACAATGCTGTCGTTATTTCATGCTGGTTTTCTACCATTAGGTAATCAGCTGCTCACTTGCCGTTGTATAACATAAACAAATGAACGACCTAAGCACTGGTTATCATTCAGCCGGGGTCTCGAGTACAAGCGTAATGAACGCAGCCCCGCCATGGATTTTAGTCAGTAAGAGTCTGACATCCCCTTATTCACCCAGGACAGGCAGGCAGGAGAAGTCATTTGATAACTGAGCCACTGAAATAAAACATGCATTAATATTTATTTTAATAGTAAGTGAAGTAGCTTCCTTGTTAGGGAATACTCGTGGCCTATTTAGAAGTGATCAACTGAATAAATGCTTTTAGGTCAAAAAGCAGCATCAAAAATAGATTAAATAATAATTTGCATGAATGAGATAATATATAGAAAATAAGAGCTAATGTTATCTTTGTAATTACCATAAAAATCCAGACAGAGCTCTATTTTTTCATTCAAATCTTCTTGCGCCCATACCGATATCAAATTCTTAACAGACAAACAAAAAAACATATTAACATACTTCCGAAATCAATTCAAAACGTACCGTAAAAACGTTGTGATAAAGTTTAAAATCAAATAAAGTTGAATGGTAGTTGCGCCATTATAAAAATGTAAATAACTAACAAATAAATTAGCATATTTTTTAACTTGTTTACCTTGTTTCGACTTCACGTGGTGATCTCGTCAAGTCAGTTATGGTGAAATGGTTTACGAGTTCTCGACGTACGTACAGACGGACTGACATGCCAGTGTTAAAAAGTTCCCGTGTTAAAACTGTGTTAGTATAATGAAAACTGAAACTGAACTAAGGATTTTACGTAAATCTAATCATGTTTGTGAGTGTGAGTTGAGTATTATTGTGTGGTTTTTTTTTTTCTTATTACTTTAAGTGTCTGTGTCGTGATGTTCAAACGTTCGTGTATCAATTGTGTTCTGTACTTCAATTACCTTTTTCAATTGATTTTTTTTTCAATTGTTTGAGTGATTGACGTTTTTGAGTCCAGTCAAATTATGTAGTCCAAAAAGTCGTCCGTCAATCCGTTTTTTTTTTATGTGGGGAAAATCATCAAATGACTTCTCCCGCTCAGGGTCGGGCGGGAGGGAGTGTCTGGCTCTGACTCAACTGACTAAAAACCCCCTTTCCTTATCCTGCTCTAGGCGATACAAAAACGAATAAAAAGCTGATAATTAGTAAATTGTTTAAAATACCTACTAGCTGCCCGCTACTACTTTGCTAACGACGCTAGGGTCGCTATTGTCCGATGTTCCCCTCTACTTTTCTAAAATTTTCTTTGATTTACAATTTACTAATTATCAGCTTTTTATTCGTTTTTGTATCGCCTAGAGCAGGATAAGGAAAGGGGGTTTTTAGTCAGTTGAGTCAGAGCCAGACACTCCCTCCCGCCCGACCCTGAGCGGGAGAAGTCATTTGATGATTTTCCCCAACAAACAGATTAAAAACACCAGCGAAATCGGTTCAGCCGTTCTCGACAATTAGGCTCATCAACTCATTTACCGTTTAATTTTTTATATTTCAGATTATTAAAAAAAAAACAAAAAAGTCCCTTCGGTCGATGGATATAAGTTTAGTCATGGTCAAATGTCAAAAAAACTGTTTTTCTAAATTTTCAGCACAGTAATATTTATGTGGCTCACTTTTCCCTAGTTTGTTTAAAAGTTATTTGTAATATCAAATGGATTTTTTGCCATATACCACACAAAACTCCACAGAAAAGTACATATATGGGTAGTACGGGTCGGCTTGACCGATGATACTCACAGAACATCGGCGCGAAACAACCACAGTGTTATGTATTTCGCAGTGCGAGTGAGGTTACCGAAAGCCCAATCCTTTCCCTTTTCCCCAATACCTCGGCTATGAAAATGATGTACCTCGGCTCAAATTTCGACGAAATTCTCGAAACACTCATCTCTCAAATTTACTCAATTTAACGCTAATAATATTTTCTAAACGTGTATTTTGGTCACAGTAACGGTCAGTTAAGATAACAAGTCAGGACTTCCAAGGTTAACTGATATAAATATTAACTACAGTAGTACCTAATAATCAGTTAAGACGGTTATTATTAAGAAATAGGACGCCCGTTGTATATATGTTTTTTAAAAAAACTTATCGATATTAATTGAATGGATGATTCCTCACGTCCATTTAACAAAAAAAAAGAAATTATTAATTGAATGTGCCTAATGCGATTTTATTTTTCATAAACGCCATCGAATCGTTATCTTGTATAGCTCTCTGATTGGTTAGTTAATTTGGAGCTAGCCAATCAGAGCGTCGAACGTCATAACCTTGTCGATCGCTTCAACGTAGTGTAGTGACATAGCGTTTGTGATTCGTTTTGTTTTAAAAATGTGTACGGTGGCTATAAAAAATATGAGGATGCGTTGTAAACGATGTAAGGGTATGTTAAATTTATTGTGAATATTTATCGCAATAGTTTTTTATTCATGCTCACTGAACGATATATTATACTGTAAGGAGCGGGAGTTCGCTAGGCATTTCTCATTATAAATTTACCCGCGGCCTCGCTCCCGTCATTTGACTATCTACCCTACTCTGTCTACCCTACTCTACCTACCCTACTCTACCTACCCTACTCTACCTACCCTACTCTACCTACCTTTCTCTACCTACCCTACACTACCTAACCTACACTACCTACCCTACTCTACCTAACCTATTCCACCTACTCTATCCTATGTCCTTCTCCTGGCTCTAAACTACCTCCCTGCCAATTTTCAACTAAATCGGTTCAGCCGTTCTTGAGCTATAAGTGGAGTAACTAACACGACTTTCTTTTATATTATATAGATTACTAAAACGTGACGTCACAAAATATTTCAAATTCATAAATTGCCTATAATTAATACTTTCATAAACTACTAGACGTACATAAACAACTGACATCATCCCTATTGACTATATACTTACATTCATACTTATAATAATATGTTTTGCACTTGTGTAAACTACTTGTTTTATAAGAATGTTTAATGTCAGAAACCGGCGAGAAACAACACTTACGTTGTGTTTCGACTTATGCGAGGTTATTGCCTCCCATCCCTCGCATTCTCATTACTCAAATTCTCCATTCTTAAATCCCTTACAATCCGTAAAGGACCGGTCATGGTGATCCGTCAGGTCGTTTACCGACATACGCGTTTGAAAAAAAAATACCTACAAAGTACGCTAATATATGTTATTTATATCCGATAATACACGTGAAGTATTTTTGAGTATCTTTAGTTACTTCAATAGGGATACCATGCTTCTGTCCCAGGGCCTTTATAAAATCTTCGAATTTATTGTTCCTACCACACAGTTTAAATTCTACTCAAATTCCCAGGAACATTCATTTTTAACCGACTTCAAAAAAGGAGGAGGTTCTCAATGTCAAAATGTCAATTCGACGCATATTTTTTTTATGTATGTACACCGATTACTCAAACACGCCTGGACCGATTTGCAAAATTCTTTTTTGTATTTGGTAGGGTATACTTGTTTTAGACTACAATACAATAACGACGTCGTTACACCTTCTTCTACTATAAAAACCTTCCTTTCAGATATTTATTTTTCTTTTTCAAAATAGTAGTAGTAGTTTTAATAGATCTTGATGTTATTTACAGGCGAAGTGCGTCAAGCGCTGTCTATGATGAAGCAATGGGCGCCGATGGATGTTGAAGATGCGCTCGAATTGTTGACGCCAAAGTTCACACATCCTGCCGTCAGGAAGTAAGAAAAAATTATTGATTTTGAGCTTAGAATCTAGTTTTAATGTTTAAACACTTGAGTGGAACAAGTTTAAGAGTTAAACACGTCCCTTCCTATCTGGTTACAAAGAAATAAAAATGCAGACACTAGTCTGTTATAAAACATTTTTTAATGTGATAGGGTCGACGTATTGATGGTATGATGGATTACCTGATGGTAAGCAATGGGCACCGCCCACCAGGGGAGTTACGACTGCGTTGCTGGCCAAAGGGATTAGTGTTTCGGAGATCTAGGAATTGGGGTGGAGAAGATTGGGCCTCCGATAACGTCACTCACACGGCGATACAAGACACTGGTTGTTTAACGCCGGTTTTCTGTAAAGTCGTGGTATAACTCTGGTGGAGCCAGTGCATTCGTGCTGAAGCATGGTTCTCCAATAATTTCCTGGGAAAGAGGCATACTTCACGATTACAAACACGAGTAAATGCTAATCTTGAAGGTGCAGGTTCAAGATCTGGCTACTAATGTGACTTTTTCCGAGTTATATGTACTTCCTATGATTGTTTAGACACCACTAGCTGCCATACGGTGAAGGAAACCTGGACTTATAAGTTTGAAATCCCCATCCGCCTTGAGCTTGCGTGGTGATTAACGCCTTAACCTTCTCTGTGTGAGAAGTGGCCATTACTCAGCAGTGGGCACTAAGGCTGTTGATGATGATGATAAAATGGTAACCCTTTTTTTCTCTAGGTACGCAATCTCCCGTCTGAAGCAGGCACCCGACGATGATCTGCTGTTGTACCTCTTGCAACTAGTACAAGCCCTCAAGTATGAAGACTTTATGGAAATACATGATGGTAAGGTTTTACTACATTCTCCTTAAACTTGGAGCTCTTCTCAATTTCAACAAAATATTGGACGTAACAAAACCCAGGTAACTGACCCAGGAAACTACACAAGTAGGTATTCCTACTTGTGTAGTTTCCTGGGTCAGTTAAATTATTTTCACTTTTGAATATACCTAAAGAATGATTGAAATAATTATAATATGTTATTTAGTATAATAGATTTTAAAATATTAGATTATTTCTTGCAAATATTTTGAAATATAAGTAGGTATGCTATTTGAAAAAACTAAAAGCTACATAAAAATAAGTGTTGAGAGAATTATACTATAGAAACAAGGAGTAATAGCCATAGCAACAGTAAGTGCGAGTCTGCGGACGGCGAGCAAGGGTAGCTCGCCTTACAACCACGATCAGAACCGAGCGTCCAACCGGGTCTGCGTAATAACAATAATACCGCGGCCCGGTTCAGAGCTGGAAAAGTTAGGTCTAAACCGTTGACACAATGGTTTAAACCTAGACTAAAAATAAATCTTGTTTTGTAATAACGGGGAGGAAGTCTGATTCTCTCTCTGGCTCCACGAGAGGAGTAATTGAATTATTTCTCCCTGCCTCTAAAAATGAGAGGTAACATTTTTTTCAACACACTTCTTCATAAAGTGGCGCTAATCCCACGGAAATTAGGCACGTAATGACACCTATAATCGAACTGTGACTTTTTCATTACTATTACTCACTAGTGAGTAATGGAGTTCTTTTTTTAAATTATTGTTGAGTTACGCTTACACTGGCGCTTAAATGATATCAGCGAAAAGCCCAAAAAAATTAAACATCATTTTTTAGTCTATGGCCGATGCGCACGCATAGGAGTACTGATTAGTTTTTCCCGCCATTACGAAACATTTTTCATAACTCGTTTCGTTTTCTCTACTGAAGATTTTTTTTAAGTAAGTATTATTTTATTCAGAAGTGTGTTGAAAAAAGTCGTATGATACACGTGGGTATTGATGATTTTCGTCCTCGGCTCGAGCCTCAATGCTCCTCTGCGGTAATCACCAACTTTCCACACTTGTACCAGAATGTACTATTGCGTATCCCTCGGAGTGAGTAACATAGCGTGACGTGGCAATACGCAGAGTACGCGCGCGTGTGTGGCAAGGAGTCGGTGGAGCTCGAGGGGGGGCGCCTCATGCACAGCGCGCATCGCGCCAGCCACGCCAGTCTACTCTCCGCCTCCGGTAACTTGCATACCATCTACCATCATCGACATCACCATTTCTCACTTCTACATCCTTCTTTCTTTCTTCTTAACTCTTACTAATTTTCGTTTCTACTTCTTTTTTTCTTTCTTTCCTTCTTCTATTCATTCTTCTATCAATAAATAGTTTTAAGTCAAGTACTCCTAAATTAAATTTTTTTTCGTGGCAACATTTTCTGTCAATATGAATCCTATTGATAGAAAATATATTTATATATATATATATATATATATATATATATATAAATATATTTTCATTTATATATATATATATATATATATATATATATATATATACTAGAGTCCTTGTGACTCTAGTGTCTGTCAGTCTGTCTCATAACCGTCATACTTAACGCATCCAGTGCCCCCGACGCGTATGTGCGTTTCCTTACGCTACTCTGTGTGCCCTCGGCGTCGAGGACACACAGAGTAGCGTAGCGCGAGGGTTTAAACCGTTAGATTAGATACAAATGTATTTCTATTGCCACTATGACCATAAAAAGTAAATATTGAAGAGAGCTCACATACAACAAATGTTATTTTGATACAAAATCCTTACTGAGCGAGTCTCACTCGCACGTGGCTAGTTTTGTTTCATACTGAAAGTTTCAATTGTATCTTGATATGGTGTAATATCTAAATAGAATGATCTGTTTGTCTGTATTCTTAGTAGATAGCTTGTTCAGAGCGCTTAAACATTACGTCCTCTCCAAATCTGTAATAATACAGGTCTAGAAAACTCGGACATGCCTTAAAAGATGATGGAGAGACAGATGTAGTATGTAAACTATCATAGAAATAGTTCTACAGCTAAATAGGTTCATATTTTCACGGCTTATTTAGTAGTGTGAATGCGCTCTCCCTCTCTATCTAACTGTTAAGAGTACTAACTCTTAAGTAATTTGTTACCTATAATAACACATGTACCTAACCCAATTTATTGAAAATAACGACTTACGTGAATTAACTGAATAGCGCTCTACCAGTTTTCTACAACACAGAAATAAACCTAGTGAAGGGCAAAGTTAAAAAAAAAAAAAAAGAAAAAAAAAGTTAGTTTCATGTCACAGCCAATTGGTTGGCTACGCGACTTCACCGGGCCGCGCACTTTGGCCCTTTCCCGTTGTAACTTGAAACTAGTAGAGCGTTTATTAGTTAATACTCGTGAGCAAGTCGTTATTTTCATTTAATGCATACATGTCTCACGCACGATAGTTACTATTCATTTAACACCAGTTCATAAATAAAAAAAACAGGCTGGCATTTTGAATGAAGGAAAATCAAGGCGCCGATTTTGGCGCTCAATTACAACAACTTTTCCCATGTGAACAATATCCAAATCAAATAAAAAAACAAATATTATCCCATACAAATCGCAACAGCTTATTGATCTTTTGCACGGAGTTTTTTTTTTGAGATTTCCATGTTAGTCTTATGGAAAAGTTAATATTTGTATTATTTGAGCACCAGAATCGGAAGGCCTTGAATGTGTCCCTCGTTTCAAATGCTACCCTGTATAATACACGTCCCAGTTACTAGACTATAGGATACTTTAATTTTAATTTTAACACACATACTAAACATCGTCATTCAAATAATACGCTTATTTGAAAGACGAGTCAGTCTATGTTTTACTAACTAAACAAAATATAGCTCACGGGCAAAATTTACAGAGATAAATCCTTTTGAAATAAAAATTGCCGCGTGCAAGGATTACTTACTTTTTTAAATGATTATACGAGCTTCTACCAGCTGGTTAGTTCTCTATAATATAATATAATATAAATAGAGTAAAAAGTATCCTATTTGTTATTCCAGCCTATAATCTATCTGTGTCCATTTACAATCAGACCTGTTCAGTTTTATATTTGTTTTTTTTTTGTAATTCATCCATACTTACAAACTTTCGCTTTATTAAGATCTGTACTTCAGTACGATTCAATAATTTTTTGGTTGGAGTAATTTTTTTTACCGTTTTTAATTATTTAGTATTGACGGTAAGTGACATGACATCGTCGATCACAAGTCGTCGTTCCACGGACGCTGGCGTAGAGGACGCTCCGCCCGCACTAGACAACAGCGTCAACGGAAATAACACCTCTGCCACAGAGAATAATAATGCATTCAGGTAATAATAACAATGTTTATTATATTAACAGTACTTATTTAAACATTGCCCTATATTCGGCGTTTCTTTTGTGTCATAGATGCATTAACAAATATAGAAAATAACATGCACATCAAATCCAGAAATAGAAAAACTATTTGTGGAACACACAGAGTTGTTCCGTACGGCTATCAAACCCACGACACGCTGTACGGCAACCAATTGTTCAGCTAAAATATTTGAATAATTTGCTTTCAACTTTTGTTGTAAGCATCCCTCAATATGGTCGACATTTAAAGAATTTCTTAATATAATAACTGTATTAGGCAATGTGAAATGACCTTGAATATAAAAAATACTACGTACTTAAATTCATAGGTACCTCTAGCGCTACCACCTACTAATAGAGCATTTATGCTTATAATATCTAAACAACCATGTTTGAATAGTTTGGTTTGGAAAAAGAATACCTCAAAATTTTTGCGCAGTTAGCGCAACTATTGCGCAGTTAGCGCAACTATTGCGCGGTTAGCGCAACCGTTGCGCAACCTCAAATATATACTTTGCTTTGTAAAACTTTGACACGATATTGATAATTATTACTATTATATTTTATTGATACAATACAAATTAATTTTGAAATCTTTAACACAAATCACAAATAAACATTACAAACCTTACAGTGAAACATCAGACCCGTCGGAGGAGCATCTCTCCTTAGCATCGTTCCTGATCTCCCGAGCTTGCAACAACAGTGTAGTAGCCAACTACTTGTACTGGTACCTCCTGATAGAGTGTGAGGACCAGGACCAGGCTAGGGACCAGGCTGCACGGTCTATGTACCTCGCTGTCATGAGGACCTTCAGCCATCGGTTGGCCAAAGGTAATCGAGTTAAAACTAATATCTGTGTTTAGTCAAATAAGTAATAGCGGTCATATTTAAAAACATCGAGCAAAAAGTACCTAATTACCATATCTTATTCTATTTAAATATTTAGCATTGTATGTATTTTTTAGCTTAATCGAAAATGAGCATGTATAGTGCCAGAAAATGCAATTCAAATTTTGAACCTTATCATAGCCTTTATTTTCTTTTTCAAATGTATTAATTCATCGTAATTTATAGTTGAATAACTATTTTTGACGTTCATAAAATATTATGTTCTTCTATTCTAGCTTTTAAAAAGTAAATATAACTAATATGTGTATGTACATATGCAGGCACGGCAGAACAGCAACGAACTCGCTCGTTCTTGGCGCGGCAGCAAGTCTTTATAGATAAACTGGTTCGCCTCGTACGCTGCATAGCTAGAGAGAGCGGCTCCCGCGGGAAGAAAGCGGAGCGACTGCAGCAGTTGTTGGCTGACCCCGACGCGTTCAAGTATAACTTCACCAACTTTGAACCTATGCCCTTCCCGCTAGACCCCAATGTTACTATCAAAGGTAAGTTTAAGTGTTGTTATGGTTATTATACAAAATGTTGAATTTCGTTTTTGTCATTTCAAATTGAATTGGGTAGTTTCCTAGGTCGAAAATAAATTAATACGACACGTTTCAATAACATAAAATATTGAAAAATAACTATACTTTCGTAAGAAATAAGTAAGCTATTCGAGGTAAAAATACTATGACGTCATAACTCAGTATTTCATAGAAAAGTGTTGTTTTTGACATTTGGATAAAAGTATTGAATAGTAGATAAAGTAGTGTTATTTGGAAACTATCGTATTCTTTAATTAAAATGACAAAATTTGGCAGGGAAAATACAAATGTGACGTCATCATATTTTTAGGTCAAACAGCATACCTACTTTTTTTTAAATGCAATCAATAAAAATCTATTAAAGTATATCGTCAAATCCATTAATGAACTGCGATTATTTTTCAATATGTAATCGTATTGATCTTGAAGCAATATATTTTTGACCGAGGAAAATACGCAATGTGTTTTTAACCGACTTAATTTTTTGGTATTCTGTTTGCTCGTTTGCCGATCTATTCCATAAAATACTTTATTAAGAAGATGATATTCATCAATCCATCGAAAGGATCATCAATTGCTCACTAATTAATTCAGAAAAGTTGCTTTAAATAAAGCTCCAATCATAAAATATTGTAAAAACTATGCTTCTTTACCAATATAATTATTATTATATTATATATTATTATTATTATATGGCTGTCTAGAATACTCTAAATAGATCCAGAATTTGAATATGTAACGTCTTTTGTATAAATTGTCATTCAAATAATAATTTTAACGCATATGTGTATTTTAAATCACTTTTAGAGTGTGCTCAACAGCCATATTATTTTTCCTAGCTTTTGTAAATGCATTAGAATGAGCTGAATCAAATTATCTGAAAGATTATTTTTAATCAAATAAATTATGTCTGTTCTTTTAAAGTTCATAATACTAACATACCAAATTTTCTCTCTCTTCAACAGGAATCGTCGCCAAAAAAGCAAGTCTCTTCAAGTCAGCTTTAATGCCTTCAAAGCTAACATTTTTGACGACAGAAGGAATGGAATACGAAGCTATCTTCAAACACGGAGATGACTTAAGACAGGATCAACTAATACTACAAATGATAACATTAATGGACAAGTTATTAAGAAGGGAAAATCTAGACTTAAAATTGACTCCTTATAAAGTCCTAGCGACCAGTTCCAAACACGGTTTCCTACAGTTCATTGAGTCGGTGACTGTAGCTGAAGCCCTAGCTACAGAGGGCAGCATTCAGAATTTCTTCAGGAAGCATAATCCGTGCGAGGGCGCCCCCTACGGTATTAAACCGGAAACTATGGACACTTACATCAGGAGCTGCGCCGGTTATTGTGTTATTACTTATTTACTTGGTGAGATATTTTGATTGGTTTTTGCAGTTTTTTTTTTACGTGAAATCGTAACAGAAGATACTAGAAATGCCGAGTAATTACAGTTGGTACTATCAATAACGAGATTTTTTTGAGTTGGTTTCGGCATTTTTTCTCAGAGTAGTCGATTGAAAATGCCGGCTTCATCTAGTTTTTATACCTATATTTTGACGTGTTAAAAGCACTGTTTTATGGTCATTTTGTAAAAATAATGTTGCTAAATAATAACTAAATTACTGACTAATTTATAGTAAAAAATACAAAGAGCTCGTTTTCTATTTGTAATGAATTACTATCATAATTAACATTTAATCAAATATTCCAGGTGTGGGCGACCGTCACCTCGACAATCTGCTACTGACTCGCAGCGGAGCCCTGTTCCACATAGACTTCGGTTACATCCTGGGCCGGGACCCGAAGCCCCTGCCGCCGCCGATGAAGCTCAGCAAGGAGATGGTGGAGGCCATGGGCGGGGTGCACTCGGAACATTACCACGAGTTCCGTAAGCAGTGCTATACTGCCTTCCTACATCTGCGCAGGTACAATTTGTTTGACATTGTTGATAGATTTAAAATGTTCTACAATGTCTGTTTTGTTCCTTTGTTATCTAATGGCACCTATAGAGCAGTTTTCACGTAAAAGAAAATTGATGCTTTTTGTATTTGTCGTATGTTCTCACCATTTACTTTTCCTGGACTTCCAAGAACATATTCAGAGACTCTCAGAGGCAAAACAAAGCCGCTGCCTCTGTCCCTATACTCCGATGTCTGCTTTAATCTTTAAAAACTATGCAACAGATTTTGATGCGTTTTTTTATAGAGTGATTGAAGAGGAACGTTTATGTGTATAATAAAGTATATTAAATAGTAGGGATTTTAGTATCAGCATTGCGAATCCGAGGCGGATCGCAAGTTATAACTAAAATAAAAAATTGGTACTTTTAGTTACTAGCTGTGATAATATCGATTGAATTATCTCAACAATAACGTTTTATATAGATTGTTAACATTCTTGTCTCGAAAAAGACAAATAAAATAACTAAAATAGGGTTGCCATACTTATAGCCGTATAGTTATTTTGTTAGTCTTAAGGAGAGTACTTTTCGAAACCTCAAATCGTTCTCTATACTTCAGCTCCTTGAACTACAGTCAGTAAGACTTCAATTAAACATAAAAATATAAAGTAACACTCTTATTTCTTTCTCAGACACGCAAACCTGATGCTGAACCTGTTCTCGCTGATGGTAGACGCGTCTGTGCCGGATATCGCGTTGGAACCCGACAAGGCCGTCAAGAAAGTACAGGACAAATTAAGGTAACACTATCAAAATTTATTAAATGTTATGAAAAATATCTAGTTTTAATTGCGCGACAATCGACACGTGTTTTGCCCCTCCACAGAGCATCCTCAGGAGATGTTGGCTCGACAAGCGCTCAGCCTTAAATATATCTATTGTTTTTGAAATCTGTTTAGACTAGACTAGACTTAATGCCTTTGGCATTTTCTACCAATCTAATTAAAATCGATGCAGATTACCGGACAGGGTAGCGACTCTTAGAACGGAATGATTTGTAGCCGGAGAGGAAGAAGTCATTTATGAATAATTCCACCTCAAAAAATTAGGGACGACTGGTTAATAATAATTGAAGAAAACAATTGCTATTGCTTGTCTCCAGAGGCCAGATGGAGTGTTTTTACTATGTGTTTTCAAAAACCCTTTTTTTGTTAACTTGCTTAATACATGTTTTTACAACTTTATTCAACTAAAGTAAGGTTAATTTTTAATCAACTGGGCTTGTAAATTGTTTTTTTTAAACGTTTTGTGGAAAAAGTTGTTTTCACGTTGGTGGGTGCGGCAAGCACCACACCCGGACCTGGAACAATAAATTGTGGAACACACAAAGAATTTCGAGAATCGAACCCGTGTCACGTTGCTCGTCGTTTTTTCACTGAACTATGCAGTCAATAAAAAAAATTTAAATAATGTTTTGTTTTTATAAGACTTCCATTATTGATTATAACTGTGTATGTATCGTTTCAGGCTGGACCTAGGCGATGAGGAAGCAGTACACTACCTGCAGAACTTATTAGACATGTCTGTGACGGCAGTAATGGCCGTACTAGTCGAACAGTTCCACAAATTCGCGCAGTATTGGCGGAAATAGGACATACACTGCGCTTCGCTCGTCACAAGGAACTAAACTCCGGATAGGATTGAAGATTTTTAAGACTATCGGTTAACCCGATATCGCCATCTGTTTGGAAATGCCACAAATATCCCGACCTTGAGCCGCAGAATTTGTAGGTTTTGATACCTACCGCAGTGGCCTTATCAGGGATAAATAACAATGGGTTGGTTCGACCAGAGTGATACCACGGCCTCACAGAAAACCGGCGTGAAAGAACCATTCACACACTGAGTGACGTTACCGGATGCTAATCCTTCCCAATCTTCCCAAATCCCAATCACAAAATTTTCAAATTCCTAATTAAACATGGGCGGTGCTGATTGCTTACCATCAGCTAACGGGTCTGCTCGTTTGTCGTCCTAAATAAATAGTTTGATATGAAGCCGCCCATGCCATCGTGCCATCGCGTCAAAGAATCATCCATAGCAATATTTTGCTCTAAGCTGTATAAACCAATGCACTTTAGTATACAGTGCGGTTGTTATTTACCAGGTAGCGATTATGTAACTCGATGTTTGCTTGTTCCGTAGAAAATAACCTAGTGTCAAATTAGACATTATCCCCCGTATTACAAAATAAGGTTTATCTTTAGTCCAGGTTTAAACCATTGAGTCGGGTTTTCAATTTTGAATCTTATTGTCACTACCTTCAATTCGAAATACGAAAACTGGCACAATGGTTTAGTCCTAGACTAAAGTGAAAGGAACCATGTTTTGTAATAAGGCCGTATTATTGTGGACAGCTTCAGTGACCGGACAAACAGACGTCACGCTACATAAGCGCATCTGGTGATCCGCAAAAAAATCGATAGCTGTTTTAGTTTTGGGGTAGCCAACCTTTTTTTATTGTGATCGTCAATGTGATGTGGATGCTAGATGCCCATAAAATTACTTAATTGAAACTTTTAAATACTTATAGCAAAGATATTTGACAAACAAATCACATCTTTGGCCTTTTAGTAACGCTAGTTGCCCATTGGATACACAATGAACTAGTTTTACGCCTAATTCAAGTCGATTATGAAAAAAAAGGTGAAATGAAGCACCTCATTGCTAAACTTTATATCGACTTATGGTATGTAACTGCTATACATTCTTCTATGTAATTGTTGGGACCAGGGAGGGATATTCTTCATTTATTTCGAGTTTAGTTCCTACGACATAATGCGCAATTCTCATTGTAGACTAATTGACTATTTAAATGCTGACTTAAATAATTTTTTATCTGTATTTTGTAATTTGTATTGTAATCATTTTTATGTGTGAATAAATTGCTTTTTGTATAACCATTTTATGTAATGTAAAAGACAATGAAATGCTCTAATTTGTGTAAAAAATAATAATGTATTCATCACATTTAATCATAAATATTTCAACCATTTTCAAGCCTAATGACTATAATAATTGGTTCGCACAGAAAAATGGTCGAACAATATTCTGTGATAATATAGGTATTAAAAGTGTTCGTAACTATTTTAATAAAAAGACTATTTTAATAAAATTGAGATTATTCATTTATCCTAAACCATTATAAATAATATGACACAATTAGGCTGATCGAATATATAAGAAGAATCCAGAATATAATAACTTGGTATTGGTAGAAATAATAAATAAATTCTTATTACAAATACTTCAAAAAAAAAATCTTTAACATAATGAGATATTTAACTAGCTGTCCAAACAAACATTAACAGATGTATTTGTTGAGAATAGGGTGGTATATGTCCAATAAAATTAGTTTTTTCCAATAATAGCAGCTCCCAAATCCTTTTTTTACTTTGTTTCAAGTATTAGCAGCCATCAAGTCTGCCCCACTGGATATACAATCACTCGCCACTATAATCTTACTTCCCGTATTAGTCTGAATGACATCACAAGCAGCCACCTCTGCATAGTTCACTCCACCAATAACATATACCAACACTGTTTTGGGTTTAAGCGGAAAACATCCACCTTTATTAGGCTCACTCTTCAATACCTTGGCTAGACTTCTCACATCTTTGCAACCAAACTCTAAATCTCTTTGTAACATTAAATTTGATAACTTTTCATTCAAAGTTTCTATGCCATCCTTGAATTTTTCTAAGATTGTACCTCCAACCTTCAAGTCTGATACAGCTGACAATTTTGCTAGAGCATCAGCAAATGTGTCAGATGTCAGTAAAGCATTGCAGAGCACTGCAATCAATGGCACATACCCGCCGTGGAACACATAACTAGGACAAGCTTTACCAACTTTATCTGCCTGAGATGGAAGCTGCTTTAACTTGTTAGCTGTACTCTGAAACTCATTCTGCCATTTTGGTAACCTGTCACTAAGATTCCCAAGATTTGAAATGTTTAAAGACAGTTTTGGACTTGATGGCTGAACCAACAAACCAGCATTTATGAGATTGTTAAAAACATATAGATATTTGTATCCAAAAGCAAGCAAATACTTGCTTATTAAAGCATTGTACTCATCATAAGTTAAAGACTGGGTCAGGCTAAGCAGGCACATGAGACGCAGACTGTTGTATATATGTATGTCTGTGCCAAAGTTCTCATCAACAAATGTGAAGTTAGATTTCTTATTCCTGTTGTTCAACATTTCAGTCTCAGTTAGCTTCAGATTTTCAAACTTGTTGCTCATTTCAGATATTATTGTTTCACAAGCAAGAACATGGTTGACTAGATTCTGTTTAAATAGTGACACTTGTTGCAGTTTAGTTGCAACAAACTGCTTGATTTCTTGTATTCCTAATGCTTTTATGTCCTCATTCTTCAAAAGCTTAGCTTTGGAACTGAGAACACTTAGGACTTCTGAGAAGTGCCTGTGTTTTATTTCACCATACAAAGTGTCTATAGAACTATCTAATGTCATGACTATGTTTTTGGAAGTTGCTGCTTCCTCTTCTGCACCAAAATTCAATTTTCCTTTCTTCAATTTAGTTTCTTTGACATTCAAATCTAAATGTCCACAGTTTATGTTGAACAGTTCACTTAGTAAGCCACTGTATGTAGCTGGGGTAAGCAGACTGGATGCATAGTCTTGGTTTCTATCCATGACAATCAGTGCTCCAATTTCTTTAGAGCTGTGAGTATCAAGAAAGTCTCTTGCATAAGTTTCATTGTAGATCTCCAACATATCAAGTACATTAGCAGATAGTTTGCCCACAGAGAATATAGTTTTAGGCTTCCCAGTAACATGGAACATACTCCATAGTGACATAGATATACTGGAGAGTAAGGAATGATTCTGTTCAACAAATAATTGCTTGAACAGAAATGGTAATTCCAAACTAAGCAGCTGCTCATCCAAAGCCATCAGCTCCCATGAAAATGTATGAAGCTTCACAATCCCATACAATCCTTTACTTTCCAACACTGAGTCATATGTAGTGAGAACTTTAGGTACTATTACAATGTGGAAGCAGTTCAAATTAGCTAAGGCAGGGTTCTGACTAAGTACTGAAGAGATCTGGTCCAAAACACATTTATATTTCAAAATGCAGGCTGGTATGAAGTAGACTCGATTCGTATTTGCTGTGCTTCCGAGTTGTGGTTCCATTTTGTATATTTTGTCAATGCCATGTTGTCTAAAAAAGAAAAAATAATTATCAAACACAGTGTCAAACCGTAAACATGAGTAATACGTCTACGAGTCATAAAAGGGTCAAAACAAATATTCAAAGATGCCAATAATATCTGCTTATTAGAAAGAAACAATGAAGCTTACCGAAGCCAGCTGACTCCGCAAATCCTCTCCAGCGGTTTGATTAGTGTAGGATCTATTATAAGGTCCTTCTTATCTCCACATAATAACAGTATTTCTTTTAATTTACGTTGGGAGATAAGGCTTAAAGAAGCTAATTTCAAAGCAAGAGGCTGATGGTCCATTTTGTTTGACCGACCTACTTTGGAGAATAAAAGAATAGTAAATGCATATAACAATTAAGTACAACTATAAGACAACAAAGGAATGCAATGCCGAGGCTGGAAGTATTTTTATTTAATTAATTAGGTATTAAATTACTTCTGTATTTTTTAGTTTACATGACAAAATTGACAAAGGACATTACAAATACAACGTTGACAATAACAACGTCAAAAAGTCAAAACACGAAAACCAACTGTCAACTGAATGACAATTGACACAAGAATTCATGACATTGACAATAAACAATTATAAATAAGGATGTCTGTTTAAAAGATGTTTTTCTATCGATATTATGTATAAAAATTCGAATATTATAATATCATATTTATTTAACATAATATGTAAAACACATTTTCTCTGATATAGAAATAATGGAGACAGACAGACAAAAAAATTATCGCACACATAGGACCTTTAAATATGGTCTTGATTCGATATGACCGATTACGCAAGTAAGAAAGAAATTAAAATACCTAAAAATATGTGCCAGTTACTACCAGTTACTTCATCAAAGAATATTGTTGAGTAAAATAGACATTCAATGCGTTATATTCTATCAAAATTAGGAACCTCATACTCTGAAAAATCCAGGATCGGCAAATTAATTAAGTAATTGTTATTTTCCTTTTTAACATTGTTTATTTGTATACCCGATGTGTATCGATAGGACCGGGATCTCTACAGATAAAGGTCTTTTAAACAAATCAAGATTAAAAATAATAATTATATAAGTAATTGATTTGAAAAATTCCAGATATAAATCGAACGCCAATCGACATGATTCTGACACACCTCTGTCGTTCTATATTCACAATAATCTTTCATGCTCGTTGGTCAAGAACTTAAAATTTGTCCCTTTCCAAAATATACATTAGACGTCCTAGTTAGACGATAGTTTGCACCCTCTGGCACCTCTCCCATTGGCACCCTCTAGTGCTTGCTTCCTTAACCATATTCGCTCGATATACCTCTTTTGTAAATCTCCTAATATCCATATTTTCAATATTATTAATCAATTTGAATTAATACAATACAATCGATATAATGCGTAAACTATAGAAAAGTAATGTGATACGCGTCTCTAGCAAAACATAAAAATATATTTTAATACGAAGTCTTTTAGCAAAGTCAAGTTTTGGTGTTACCTTGCTGTTATGAACTTCCGGTGAATTAAAAGGGAATAAAGAAATCTACAGAATAATAGGAGCTGTGACACTATTTGATCTATCTTCAGAAAAAAATATTGGAAGTACTTAGATTTAGTTTTACCCTAAACATGTGGATTTACGCCGCATAAACCGTCAGTGCTTGGGTAGTCATACTTAAATTTAATCCTTCAAGTTCTCTCAGAAGTTTTAATACAAGTTCGTAATTATACAGTTAAATAATGGTTTTATTATTCCCAATCAAAATTATTTGATTTTATTTTTATGTTCACCATCTGTCAACGTCCTTGATAGCTGTTTCCGGTCATGCGTAGTAACCGCGCTGCAATTTCCTCCCCCTCCGCCCTTCGCCGCGGAGTTATCACTCGTCGAATTAGCAAAAATTAGAGAAATGGCTGCAAGAATTATCAGGAAAATTGTAAGTTGGTAGAAGTGTTACATAATAACTAACGTAGTGTCCTTGTGCATGGACCTTCATAACTTATAGCTTAAGTAGTTTGCTGTGATACAATTATCGTCATCCAAAAATAGACGTAGTAGTATAGTTATGTCGAGGAATTACATAAAAGTGCTTTTGAATCCTTTTCGTGAGAGTAAAGTGTTGGGTTCACTGCTGAAATGGCTGGAGCCGGGTGCGAGCAATAGTTCGGGGGTGCATAAGGGAGGGAACGACGAGGTTACATATTATTTTTTTGTGATTAATTGGTGATGTATTTGAGGTTATGTGACTGGTATTTTCTGGTGATACGTAGGTCCCTGTGAGCCGGAGCGGCGCCGCACAGTACAGCTCTGGCGTGCGCAAGGTGACACTAATCCCTGGCCATGGAATCGGCCCTGAGATCACGGTTGCCGTGCAGAAGATCTTCGAGGCCGCAAAAGTCCCAATTGAATGGGATGAGGTCGACGTCACAGCTGTTAGGGTAAGCCCCGTGTTTTTGTTGTGGTTAGCTATATGGATGACTTACTGACGTAAAATTGGTATTGTTAAAATTAACATTTGGCGTCACAATAGTAAATTAAAATTGATTTTTTTACAAATATAAAATGCATGACTGCATTAATAATTACAACATTATCCTTTGTCTTGAATGCGTACTGTCATGTACTATAATGTAATTGATACTTATGTAAAGGAGACTCATTTATATGTCAACTATTTAATTAATGTTTAGCCAATTTATATATTACTTACTCCATTAAAGATATATATCTTATACAAAATTTTTAATAACATAAAAGTATTACAGTATCCGTTTTCAGTTAATTAATTGATTAAGTAACTTGACTCATTCAGTTTATTCATGTTATATTATGAAGAAGATTACCTTCAGTTATGGTATAAAGTTACATTTTTCATTGAAAATAATTGTCTCTATTTATTATACAATTATTTTCTTCAATTATACTAAGAAACAATTTCTAACAATTAAATTATTTTATCCTAGTATATTTGTGGGACTAATTGTCTAATATTTAACATTTTGTTCTTTGATAATTTGGAATAAGGATAAAATAATAATTTTAGCCCAATTGAGTAATATTTTTATTTTACTTTTTAATGTATTTTATTTTTAAATAGAACCAATTCTTTTTCCAAATCCTAATTTAAGTCTTGTCTTCTAGGGCCCTGATGGCAAGATGGGTATTCCTCAGAAGGCCATTGACTCAGTAAATGCCAATAAGATCGGTCTTAAGGGACCGCTGATGACTCCAGTCGGTAAAGGGTACCGTTCTCTTAACTTGGCACTGCGTAAGGAGTTTGATTTATATGCAAACGTCAGGCCCTGCAAAAGCATGGAAGGGTATGTATTTCACTTCCATAATTTATCATATTAATGTAATATTGAGAAATCCTCAAGTATTAAGTCTGCTTATAAAATGTGTGCAAGAATGTTAAAATAAATGAACAAAATACATTAGCTGATAATTGCAAAACATAATTTATTAGTTTTTAATTTAAAAATCATTTTCTATTTTTATTATTTAACTTATACATACTGCTGTTATTATATTCAATATTTTGTAGACTCTGACTACAAGTAAACACTACTTACTAATTTATGTAGCTACTTTGTTCAGTTTTAAAGTATGAAAAGAAGTTCATTATTCAGAAACATTTGGTACTTATACACAATTGTTTTTAAACTACCTACCCGCAAGGTACACCCATTTCTCGCCTCTCTTTGGTCGAAGTGTGATGTTGCTAAGACTGTAGTGTTCCTCACAAAATAAATGTGAAATAAACACAATTTTTTTTTTAATTTGTATCATTAGTTCCAGAGATTAGCGCATTCATATATATAAACTCTTATATAAAAATGAACTTTTCAGCTTTATTATCTTTCTTATTGTAGACTACCAAACATCTTTCTTATTAATTTAATTGTGTTAAACTTGCAATTTATGATTTATTTTGTTTTTTTTTTTTTAGTCAAAACAAATTGCCTTTTTTGTATTAATCCCCATTTTAATGCCACTTAATCATAATAAAATAATTAAATTTTAAATAACTCATAAATATTACTACATTCATTCTTCAAAGTATTATCTCTTAAAGATTCTTGTTTCCGGGATCACAATTTATCGAAAAGTGCAGTAAACCAAAATATTTACTTGTGGTCGGCTTGAGTTGACCGTGAAACGATGTGGGTCAATAGTAATCACTTCTGATAACGAGTCTAGACGTGTGTGTCAAGGCCTGTGATTGTGAGAAATGGCTCATTACGGTAAATTGAATTTTTTATGAGGATTTTATGACCCTTTGTTATGTGATTGGGTTGTAAGAAAGCAATGATCTTTAGCGAAGTACCTATTATATGGCAAGGTAAAGGTGCAACATTATTTATGCTAGTATGCTTATTTTCGTAAGTTTTTTTTTCATTGTTACTATTTTCAAAAAAAAATTAAAATAATATTTTGCCCCAGAACGAAACCCTCCCCGTATAATCATGTGCATCTCTGTGGTGGAGGATTAAAAATGACAGCTTTTTTGAAACAAGACACTGCCTCACTCTATGTTCAATCGTATGTCGTGGGTGCGTTCACAAAACAACAATTTCATATACACATCACACATAGACACGAAATAAGAAATTGTAGATCACATAAAGAGTTGTTCTATGCATGTTGGAGATTTCTGAGTGACAAAAATTGTAGTAGATGGGTTAGGTATTAAAATACACTATTGAATATTAAGGCAGCATTGTATGTTATTTTAAATTGAGGCTTCCATGCTACAGGATAGAATTGTTATTTTATGTCATAAATCGGCAAACGAGCTGGGCAAGGGCGTTCTTGTGGGCTGTTAGAGATTTAAAGATAGGGGTTTTGAGAATGAGGGGGAGGGGAAGGATTGGGTCTCCGGTAACCTCAATCACACGATGAAACACAACGTAAGTGTTGCTTCACGCTGGTTTTCTATTAGGCCGTGGTATCACTCCGGTTGATCCGGCTCATTCGTATCAGCATGGCTCTCCCACACTTAAAAATTAGACAATACCTTTATAGGAGTTATTGCTAAGTGACATCAATGCCTATAACTTTGTTGTCTGACTTGGCTTTTTGCCCAATACAGGGCATTCAACTCTATCGACCGATACGGCGCCATCAAATATTTAGAGAGCATTGCATTTTGACGATTATTAACTGGCTCTCTAAATAAGTGGTTTTGCATAGGCACCATAACCAAACCCTAATCCACAAAAAGCCGGCAAGGCACTCGTAACTCCGGTGCAGATGTCTACGGGCGGCGCTGAGTACTTACCATCATGAATTCCGTATGCTGCTTTGCCAATATTACAATACAAATTATATTTAACTAGCGGCTCTCGCGCGGTTCCACTCGCTGCTCGGCTCCGTTTAATCATAGCGTATTGTTTTATAGCCTATAGCCAAGGTAATAATATCTACAAGTATTTCAACTTCATAGAAACGGCCGAAACGCGAACTATACCTACGCGCCCGATGTCGGGACGCGCTCGGGACGCAGACAGACGCGGCTGTACCGCAGTGACGAACGGACGGTGTGTTGTCTTTTATTTAGAAATCAGCTCGAGTACATTATTTAATATGACGAATAGGAAATATTGTGCTGTTATTATGTTTGGTTGCATGAATTCGTCAATAACGCATCCAGACATAAGTTTTTTTTTAATTACCTGGAAACTCTGAAAGGTAAGACTATAAAATACTTTTACTTACTAGTAGTCTACTAAGTAGTCTACTAGTAGCCTAGGTAGGTACATAATGTGTGTCTTTATGGATCATTATTTCCAGTTATCTCACGAAAACAGATGTTTGAATTTATAAATAATATGAATAAAGTTATTGAGACGAGTGAAATAGGTAGTTATAGGCGGTTCTGGTTCTGAATGAATCATGATACGTTAGGTACCTACCTACTTACGCTTGTGTTAAAACGGTTCATGTATGTTTTGTTAGTTTGTATAATTCAAAGTAGAGAGTGTGGTATTTTATTATTAATAATATTTGTTTATTATCTGCGTTTATGAATAATACTAGAAAATATTTAATAACAACAATAAAACAGCTAGACTCATGTAATATTTTGATGTTTGAGGGTTGTGATTTTAGAACATTCGTAGTCAGCTGTTCAGTTCGGCATTAGTGGCCAAAGAAATTTTGTTTGTTTATTTTTAAAGCACTTTATTTGTTTATATAAAAAAAGGATATTTACAATCACAAAACTAAATGGAAACAGAAAGTAGACAAAGGTAATTAAAATACTGGAGACGAGCAGCCCTAACGCATGTTTACGTACCGCGCGGCTGTAGGTATTTATTTCTTTCAAGCGGCCGAGTTACAATACTGTATGATATTTATACTGTGCTATAGCACTCAGGAACATTGTAGCTATCTATCAGTGAAAGAATTTTGGTTCCATCCGACCAGTGGTTTCAAAGATTACCCCCTACATACAAACTTACAAAATTTTCCTCATTATAATATTAGTATAGATTACAAGTACACTGTATACTTACATAGGGCTTTAAGAACAATGTATACTTTCATATTTTATTTTGTAAACGGTAGCATTGCAACACCAATATTAAAAATTTCCTAACATAGAATTTACCTATAACAATCATAATTGTGCAATGGTATCTATAATCCACACGATAAGCTGATTAGTTGTGTCAGCCTAAAGTCTCTAATTATTTCGTATTAATTACTGTCAGCGGCAACGCCCTCAGTTCCAGGGAAAAAGAGCCTTTATAATCTGTATTATCCAGACTATATAATCTGTTCTATCTTCATGTCGAATTTCATTCAAATCCAAATGAGATTGAGCATTAATCGCCACGCTTGCTAAACCCACATTGACGATATCAAACTTATTATTAGAAATTATAAGTCCATGTTTCCTCACGGTGTTTTCCTTCACCGTGTGTTAACTAGATTGTTCTATTAGTAGGTAACTAGGTTAGCTTGTTGTCTATACTAATATTATAAAGACGTAAAATTTGTAAGTTTGTATGTAGGGGGTAATCTTTGGAACCGCTGGTCGGATTTCTAAAATCTTTCACTAATTGATAGCTACAATGTTCCCGAGTGCCATAGGCTATAAAACATCACGCTACAATAAAAGGGAGCCGAGTAGCGGGTGAAACCGCGCGGGAATAGCTAGTTCATGATAAAATGGCAAAGTTGCCAAGCATTACTCGCGGGAGATGTTATTATTTTTGCTCACTTTCCTTTCCCGTATTGAAGAAAAGAACAGCTCCTTATAGGTAATGTAATCCATTCATATAGTATAATTGCCACTGAATTTTCAAAAAGCAATAATTAATCCAGGCGTTATATTAGAATCTAACAAAATTAATCGATTTCGCACTATCGAAATTCCAAACGTCCAAACTTATCTATAGCGAATTGATTTCAATCACATGAGTTTGTTTTATGATAATATTTGTAAATGTATAGTATTATCAACGGCCAGCACTGGTTTATATAGATATGGTGTGTTTGAATTGATTTATGGAGTACCTATTTATCATTAAAGCTTAACCAGTTAGGTGTTAGGGAAAACTGTTTAGATTTTGCACTGATTGCAGTTACATTTCTGCGTTTTACATCATCAAAATATGGTCTTTATTACGGATAGTTTGGGTGTACAACGTTATTTCATTGCTATGGTTTCAAAAAGTTCTTGGTATATCTCGGTTGTGTGTTTTTTCATCACCAGCCGGATGACGCCTACTGATAAAAAAAGGCGGGAGGCCTTAGTCCTCCATTTTGAATAACCACTCGCTACAATCATCTACTGGCTATTGTTTTCTATTATCCTATAAAATTGATGTAGGATTTTTTTTTTGGAAGAGTTACGCCATCGATTCATTTCTCTCTGTGTGTCAAATTCTAACTGACTAAAACAATCCTGTTATTGCGCTTGTACCCGAAACCCTAGCTGGGCCCATGGGATCAGCCCTATTGGCCCCATCTGTGGTGGTCTCTTGGCGAACAAAAATTAACGGATTCTTACTGAGACTAATATCTATAGAATCCTGTTAAATGTAGTTCGCACTAGCGACACAGCAAACAATCGTTTAGCACCTTATTGTGTTAGGTATCACATATTGGTACTAAATACACGTAGTTTTGGCGCCTTCAAAAAAAAAAAAAAAGGCGCCTTCTGCCTATTTGCTATTCGTGTTATCAATCATCTAATAAGTTACGTAGAAAATGTAACACAATTAGGTAGTATTGTATATGTTTTCGGTACCAAAACAATCAATGCCAAAATATTATTTAAAGACAAAAAAATCTTGAATCTAGAACATTCTTAAGGCTTCCTTTGTATTCTGTGTTAAAGATCTTACCTTAAGGTAATACGGCAGTTTCCAACTAGTCAAATTCAATCCTTTTATCCAAATGTCAAAAACGACACTTTTCTATGAAACACTGACACTGAGTTATGACGTCTTGGTAATTTTGAGTCAAATAGCGTACTTATTTCTTAATAATTAGCTAAAAAATATGTAAAATTTTGTGTATCGATCGATCGATGAATAAAAGTATAGTTATTTTTCAATATTTTATTGTATTGAAACGTCGAATTAATTTATTCTTGACCTAGAAAACTACCCAATTATTAAAATATTGACTGTCAAAACGAACCTTTAAAATCACAATTTATTTACGTGAATAAACTGAGAAAACCTCTACTAGTTTCGAATCTTAATGGGACTCTTATTTATGACATTCGTCGGCAGTCGGTTGTCGCGCAAATCAATAAGGTTTGTGCAATGCATTCATGCTAGTAAGTCGTTATTGTTTTTTTTTTTCGATATAATATGAGTTTGCCTTTAACCAAAAAAGTGATAAAAATTACCTCAAGTTCTCGATATACCTACTTAAAAATTAACGGCTCCTCGATAATGGCACGTGCTGATAATAGCAAGAATCGGAATTTACCGGTTTTACTTTTTTTTAATATAATTGTTTTGGCACAGATAACGAATTGCAATCGTTCGCATTGCATGTTGTTGACATGACATTTAGATTGGATCTTGATGCATGTTCTTTAATTAAACAAAAGAAGGTAATTGTTGATACTTAAAAGCGATATAAAAAAGGGGGTTTTCCAAATATTTTTAACAAAATTGTACGCGTTGAAAATATACTTTGGACAGAGATTCTTTAAAACCCAAAACGCCGGCTACACACTCTGAACTACTCTGGTTTTGCGGATGATGGGTCATGGGCGGCGCTGATTGCTTACCATCAGGTGATGCGTTTGCTAGTTTACTGTCCTTTCTATAAAAATTCAGAATCACACCTTCCAAGGGGCAGAGAAAGGTGCACATATTCTTTTTCTGTTTTTGTCCCCGTATTAGGATTTTATCCCGTGTCGTGGGTATGTTTACAAACATACATTTTCACATACACATCACACCCAGACCAGAAACAACAAATTGTGGATCACACAAAGAGTCGTTCCGTGCGGGAATCGAAACCGGGACAAGTTGTGCGGTAGTCAGTTGCCCAGCCACCACGCCAACCGTGCAGTCAAATAATCAAAGTCATATTGAACGTCAATAGTTAGTAGGATCACAACATCCGTCAGTTCAGCCATGCAATCAGATCGGTGTAGATGTGATATCAATCCGCTGACTACAACAAGATAAGGCAACGTTTCACTTAACACGTACTGATAAGGGTATCTCTAAACACCTGACGCCTTTTTCAGTGTCAATGGCATGCGTTCCTTACTCGTGTTGTTCAAGGTTCTAGAAAAAAGTTTGGTTGGTCATTGGTTTGTGAAAATCTCTAGCAGTTACCTATATCGGTCCTTTACAAAACAAACTATTTTTGAATACTTAGTAACTAATAAGAGATATACTTATACTATTGAAAATAACGACTTTCTCACGTGAATTAACTGAGAAAAGCTCTACTACAGTACGGCCGACGTATCTTGGCGAGTCTGAAGTTAGCCGTTTGTCTGCGCAATGGATCTTTTAGGAACAAAATTGTGCACTGCGCAGCTAATCGGCTAACTTCAGACTCGCCAAGATACGTTGGAAGTATTGTACGAGTAGTTTCAAGTCGTAACGGGACTCTTATTCATGAGCAACGTGCGCTTCGCGTCAACGTTCAGCCGCGTATCCCCTATAAGACATGTGAAAATCTCTTGCAGTTGCATCTATCCTTTACAACACAAACTACATCGTATACCTATAAGGTAATTGTACTCTGTATATAAACATAATGTAAAGTTTTTTATTAGGCTCTAATCTGCAATCCGGGCTAGCAATCGAATTAATGTCTCCTGTAATAAAATATAGGGTAAATAAGCAACTTTATACAGTTGCTCAAAGCCAGTTACAAAAGTACATTGCAAAGGAAGCCTCACATTCTTGCATTCTAAAACTGTTATATAAAGGGATTTCCTACTTTAAAATTGTCGCTAAAAGGTTTATATTCCAATGTTTTGAATAAGTACGTCTGTTTTCTCACCGCACGACAAAAAGTTTCAATGACCTAGAGGTTGTTCACCGTTGTAAAGTTGCTTTGAGGTACTAAGAAACTAAGTGATATCAAATTGAGTATTTGTTACATTAAAAGCATTTTGGTTGCAGTTTGTTAAAGGGAAAAGTTGTTCCGAGTTACTTTGTAGAAACTTTTTGATTTTGAACTCTAATAGTAACAGTTTAAACATTAAAATTGTTGAGCATCCAGTCTTACTTATGAAAACAACATATAGTTACGCGGATTATTATTATTTTAATACCTTGGTAGGCTTGACGATTCGACTCGGTTGCACAGGTCGTGGTCACAAGCAGACATCTTGTGACTACGACCTGTGCAACCCTTACTTATGAACCCTGATGCTATACCCTAGGCATCTTGTATAGTTGAACTCCATTAAATCTATTGAGAGTTTAGAAGTCTGGAGCCTAGTCGTACTTATCCTCTAGCCGGGGTTGCGAGTGCGAGAATAATGCACCACGAGCCCGGCTCGAAGCAAGAGAAGGAACTGGGTGACTTTTAGTCAGCAAGAGTCTGACACTCCCTCTCATGGTGATTACACCCAGACGTAATTTGACGATACGACGCAAACATTTAAAAAAAAATAAAAAACAAGAAAAAATATTTTACCCGTGTAATGTAACATTTTCCTTTATTTAGAAGTTGATGCATATACTGTGCGCCATGACATCGATTTGCATTAGCCTACCTTACTAGCCTAGAACCTTATACGTGATGGCATTTATAAATAAAGTTTGTCATAGGTATTGATCGCATCGCATCACAAGTCTTACGAAATTTTCTTTATTTTTGAGTTTAAGGAACTTCTATAATACAATTCATTTAGCCATGTTAAGATTGTTTTATAAGCTTTTCCTATTTCCAGCGTATTTTTCCTTGACCTTTATTTATATTATTAATAATTCAGGCAAGGCATAGATAAAGGGAAAATCATACAATGCCTCTTCCATGTATCAAAAAGGAAAAAAATATAAACTTAACTAGTCAAGCTTTGTAACCTGTAGAGAGAATAACAAAAATGTAGGTTCATATCTTGTTGAAAAGAATTAGCAATTAGATAATCTTAACTATCTATACTTACTAATAGTATAAAGAGGTAAAATTTGTAAGTTTGTATGTAAGGGGTAATCTTTGGAACCATAGTCGGATTCCCAAAAATCTTTCACTGATGGATAGCTGCAATGTTCCTGAATGCTTTAGGCTATAAAACATCACGCTACAATCAAATGGAGCAGAGCAGCGAGTGAAACCGCGCAGGAGTAGCTATTGAAATATATATTGAATCGGTAGTAGCAGCTTGATTTTACCGTTTAACCATTTTATATTTACTTATCTAACATTCTATCTGCAACGTGTGCGTTTCAAAAAACGGTTAAATCAATTTGTCATCTCCATCTCTGCGTTTTAAAGGCTGGCTTCTTGCCAAAGCTTGCAGTCGGAGCTACGCATTGGACCTAACTATAACTATTCTTATTTAACTGTCGTAGCTACAGAATTACACTGCCCATACTGAACTGTAAATGTTACGTTTGTTGTTTTTTTTTATGTAATAGGTCGGCAAAGGAGCAGACCTATTACCTGATGGTAAGCAATCAGCGCCGCCCATGGACACCCGCAACGGAGGAGTTACGAGTGCGTTGCCGACCTTTTAGGGATTAGGGGTTTGGAGATTTAGGGATTGAGGAGGGAAGGATTGGGCCTCCGGTAACCTCACTTACACGGCGAAACACGACGCTGTGGTTGTTTCACGCCGGTCTTTAGTGAGACCGTGGTATCACTCCGGTCGAGCCGACCCATTCGTGCCGAAGCATGGCTCTCCCACACTTATTGTTGTTTTTATAACCTGTCTTCTAAGGAGTCACAAGATGTTGATTTAATATTTCTGAATTTATTTCGAGATAGAATCTGTTATAGATTTATGTAACATAAATAATAAATAATGTATATGCATAACATGATAATATTATGTAGGTAATGTTTAAAGTCTAATGTCTGTTTCTGTACCTATAAAATAAAATAAACACTTCATATTATTCGGCGTTTTGTTTTTAAAATGATTGGTCTCTGAACTACTTTCATATGTGACTTAACTTACATAGAAAATACAAATTCGTAGTTCAAATTTTCCTTTTCCCATGTATATCATTTGCCTACATACAAACTTACAGTTTTATTGACACATTTTATAATTTTAACACATTGATGATGAATTGAATTGCATAAGTCATGTATTGATAGGGATCTCTTTTCCACATATAATAAAATCTATCTTCTACTTCATCTAACCAAGCTATTTTTATTCCAAATTATTTATTCTGTTTTCGGCTTACTCACGTAACAATTTGACGAGATACTCGACTAGTTTCAAGCCATTCTAGAGGCCCATATTCATGAGCAGCATTCCGCGACACGCGACTCGGCGACTGTCGCTCTGCTACTGCACTACTAGTCAGTAGCAGCGCGACACACAAAATATACTTAATAAATAATTTAGTATGTCGCACGAAAGTTATAATAAAAATATTTTTATTCCAGTATCAAAACCCTGTACGACAATGTAGACGTAGTGACAATCAGAGAAAATACGGAGGGAGAGTACTCAGGCATTGAGCACGAGATCGTCGATGGAGTGGTGCAGTCCATCAAGCTGATCACAGAGGAAGCGTCCATGAGGGTCGCGGAATTCGCTTTCGTTTTCGCCAAGGAGAACAAGAGGAAGAAGGTCACAGCTGTACACAAGGCTAATATTATGTGAGTAGTCTTTTATAGATAAGTAAGTAGGTCCGTAGATTTTAATCCAACGGTCTATATATTTTTTTTTTTTTGAAGTAATTTCGTAGTTTTATTTTTAAGTCCAAGTATGTGAATAGAGTGAAATTGATAAATAATTGACTACTTTGATTTGGTTAAATATATATAGTATAGTCAAAGTTTCGTTCATTGATATTACAAAAAAACTTGATATTATAAAATCCCATACAGATTTAATAGAAAACGATCGCTTTTAACAATTAAAAAAAGTGTGGCATGATACGAAATTGGGTACCTTAGAACTAAATAAATATCGCTGTTAATAATATCCTGGGAATATGTTATAGTTGCTGATAAAAAAAGTGCAGTATTTTTTGTACTAGGTAATGTACGTTATAGCGATATAATACCTGGATGTTCCTTAGGTCTAGGTCTCTTTGTATTCTAATTAAGTAAACATTCATAAAGAACTACATTGATAGATTTTGGTGTTCTAAACATTAGTTGCAACCAAAGCTGAAACCTATTTAATAGGATTATAGAGTTGATATTTGTTTAGCCCCGTTTCTGAATGACATATTGTAACTAAATACTAGCCTTTACTAATGATAATGGAGTGTAATCTACTCCAGTGCATGCAAGGTATGCTAAGTGGCACAATAGTGGTAGACTCAATGTCACATGAACAAACAATATGTGTGTCAATTTATTTTATTAAATGTTATTATATTGTTTTTAGTGTTAGGTTATGAAATAGGTCGACAAACGAGTAGACCTAATGGCAAGCAATTTGCGCTGCCCATGGACACCCTCAATACCAAAGGAGTTATGAGTGCGTTGCCGGCTTTGGAATAAGTGTTTCGGATATTTAAGGGATGGGGGAGTTAGAGGGATTGGGCTTCCGGTAACCTCACTCACACGGTGAAACACAACTCTGTGGGTGTTTCACGCCGGTTTTCTGTGAGACCGTGATATCATTCAAGTCGAACCGACCCGTTCGTGCCGAAGCATGGCTCCCCACACTTATAATTATGTATTAACAAAGTTTATATGTATAGTAATGATAGTTATAATGATGAGCTAGTATTAATTATTTATTTATTTTATTTAGAAATTCCGGCTTCGATCTTAACATGGAATGGCATTTGAGTAAAGTTTCTTATAAGTCACATTATCAGGTTAAAATATTTATTAGGGTTTTTGCCACGATACAAAAAGAGGCGCTATTATCAGATTTTCCAAATTATATTTCTCTCTTATAAAAACCTTCTCCTGATCATAACAAAAACAATATAAAGATATAAGCGGAATCGATTCGGCCGTTCTCCATTCAGCGATTCACTTTTATATTATAGTTTAACGTGATCTTTTAATTTAAAGCCTATAGCTTTCCTTAATAAATAGACTAATAAACACAAAAAGAATGATTAAATTCGAAACAGTAGTTCCGAAGAATAGCGCGTTCAAACAAACAAACTGTTCTGCTTTATAATATTAATTAATTATATAATATCACCTATCACTAATCTAATCACCTATCTAACGATATCGTGTGGCACCTTCCAGGCGTATGTCCGACGGTCTGTTCCTGCGGTGCTGCCGTGACGTGGCCACCAAGTACCCCGACATCAAATTCGAGGAGCGCTACCTCGACACCGTCTGCCTCAACATGGTGCAGGATCCCGCCAAATTCGACGTACTGGTTAGTATTCTCTAACTATAGCTGTATTGCAATTAAAAAAAGTCGTGTGAAATACAAAGTTTATTGAAAATACTGACACACAAAAAGTGGTTCGACTGAAAAAAGCTCTAATACTTTCAATTCAGGTCTAAAGTAAAACTTTTTGTGACTATATGATTGGTACAGAGAACTGATTCACGGTCTTTTAAAGTTTGAGTTGACTGTAATTAGTCTATATCTATGAATAAATATTCAGAAAATTGCACGGTTATTAATTTGTCTTAATATATTTAAATTATTTTGTCGCAACAGTAACTTAACTGGGAAAAGAACTCTTGGTATCTACAACTATATAATATTTAACATACAATCATCAAGGCTTTTATCATCCAAGAAGACAGAAGAAATAAAGATACCTCAAAACATATTAAATGAAAATATTTAAAGGTTTTTATTTCTCACAATGATTTTTGTAATAACTTCCAGGTGATGCCCAACTTGTATGGTGACATCATGTCGGACTTGTGTTCGGGTCTGGTCGGAGGGCTCGGTCTCACGCCCTCAGGGAACATCGGCAAGAACGGAGCGCTATTCGAATCCGTAAGTATTCTTTTAATTTTAAATTTGGAAAGACAGTTATATAAAATACAATATTTTATACCATTTTTCTATCTGTTAGTTCTTCACGTGACTTTGGATTCAAGGTCTTGTGGTTTTCAATTATATTCGAGATCTGACAGGAATTGAAAAGAGAAAAACAGATTTGGATGAAAATCCTTTTGAATCTTGACACCTTTTTGAGGTGAAAAACTAAGGATGCTTATCTTTTGCGAAGAATAGAAAGACAACTGCACTAAAAGATTTCCTTTTTATTGGTTCTGAGGACCATGGACCATGGTTATGCTTACTACAAAATATCGAGAATGGAACCAAGTCAATTTTAGTCCCTACAGGACTGGTCTTCAGTCAGGGGTTGCGCGGCTTCGGCCTAAAGCAGGAGAAGGTACGGGGGGTTAAGTGACACACGCCTTACCCTGGACGGGAGAAGTCATTTGATGATTTTCCCCTGACAAAAAAAGCCAACTTTAGTGACCATTCCTAATTCAGCACAATGCTGATCGCATTTTATTAAGAGATTAACTATGGCAGCCTTCATCGTCAGTGGAATCTTTTTAAAAGGAACGAAATGTAAACTGATTTAATGCTGCTTCTATTCAAGTGTGACTAGGAAGATTTTGTAACATTTTAAGATCTGTTTGCTTAACTACACGAAGCTAAAAAATACATTATTGTGACGTCACAATGAAACATCAAGTCGATCGAATCGACGTCATTTTTAATTTTAATGTGTTTATCACGATTCATGAAGTCTTACCAAAAATATTGGAAGAGCGCCAGTACAAAAAACTTAAATAAAAAATTGTAATGCAGTGACTGAAACCAAATTTGACTTTTGGAAAGATAAGTCTATTCAAATTATTGAGTTTGAACTAACAGGTGTGGGTTACATGTTCAAAAAAAAAAAATTAAATATTTTACCTGGCAATAACCGCATGACGATTCGAAATTTGATTTATGTTTTGATTAACCTCTGTGAACTAATTTTATGTGAATGTCTCAATGTTCATTTGCACTGTATCAGTGTTTTTTTTATTTATTTTTAACGCCGCTAGCATGTGTTCCTATGAAAGCTCTTTCTGACTCTTTTAATTTTTCAAAAATGGTTTTTTCTAAATTTTTCTGTGGTCGCTAAAGTGACAGCTAACTGAGATGTCATGGAGTTCTGAGATTTCTCTCCATGTTTGTAATGTGAATCTATTATGAGAGAAAGTTATTCTTTGCTTGTCTCTTCAGGAGAATGTGGATTGATGTTTGTTGCTGTCCTTTCCTCTGTCAATGTCCTTTCGAAAGAACTGTCAAATAATACTCAAAGAGATGTGATGTTTTTCTAGTCTAAAACATTCCTTGAAAAATAAAGTATCCAACATAATATAAAACCCATAAAATTAATTGTTCAATTTGAACCACTCAAAGCTTTATAATCTAATAAAATGGTCAGAGCTTTATAATATTATATTATAGACATACTAAATTTATAGCAAATAACGACTTGTATCAACTGGGAAAAAAAAGATTTACAAGTTATTTTGCACCCTTTGTTCTTTGTGCAATGTGTTTGCACACATTATCCATCTTATTATTATTTGTGCATCAAATAATATTATTTTGGTACTCCATAACTTAGTGGATGGCTGGTTTAGAGAAATTGATTTCTTTAATTCATATAACCATATCATATGGATGGCTCACAGTTGAATGACCTTCAAAAAAGCCTCCTTCCATTCCATAACAAATAACCAAGATTCTTTACTAACCCATGTGAAACTAAACCTTGTTACTTAGACCCAAGGTTTGATTTAACTTAACCAAATGTTTCTAGGTGCATGGAACAGCGCCAGCGATTGCTGGAAAAGATATGGCCAACCCCACAGCTCTGCTGTTGTCCGGAGTAATGATGCTGAGACATCTAAACCTTCATAAAGAAGCACAGATGATAGAACGAGCTTGCTTCAGGGTCCTCAGGGAAGGGAAGGTTCTAACCCCTGACTTAGGAGGAACAGGAACCTGTTCTGGATACACTGCGGAGGTTATTAAATACTTAGGTGCACCTGAAGAAAAATGTGATGGTGCTTAATTGGTCATCGGTTTGATAGGGACTAGGTACAAAAGTAGAAATTTACATGTACAGATAGACAATCGATTTTCAACTTCAGCGTATTGTACTAAAGTTCAATCTTGTAATTTAACAGTTTAGTTTTTGTTGTGTAACTGTTACGTATTGATTTGATATCTTCTTTTGAAGTTTTTAATCGTTTTTTATTATTATTATTGCTAGTTTTATCGTGAGCATTTGCAAAAAAATATTATTTTTTGTATGTTCTAAAGTTGTACCCTTTAGTCCTTTATCAAAATGGTGATGTGTTGGTGATCAAAGTGGTCCCAGTTGTGAGAAACGGTTAGTTCAATTACTAGATCAAGTTGTTGACCTACTTATTAAGTGTGTAGTTTACTGGCTGAGGTACTTAGGGCTCACTGATATATTGTTTAGCCATACATTACATTGCGGCCGACGTATCTTGGCGAGTCTGAAGTTAGCCGTTTGTCTGCGCAATGTATCTTTTAGGAACAAAATTGTGTACTGCGCAGCTAATCGGCTAACTTCAGACTCGCCAAGATACGTCGGCCGCATTGTACTGCTGGACTTGCTAAAACCTTCTCCATGTAAGAAGAGGTCTTTCCTCAGGTGTGGGAACTTCTAGGCTGATGATAAAATAAGCCGTTAAACAATAATGAAATTAATGTCTCACAAAAATAATGAAGTTATGCCTCGTACCTCAGTCAGTGTACTCGCAAGCCGGTATAACTGCCAAAGAAGTAGTTGCCACTGTAATTTATTTCATTATTTATTTACATTCCCTATGTAGAACATAGATCTGCTGTTCTTTTATTTATTTATTTGATTATTTATGTAGATGGCAATCACTCAGCACTTTCTCAGTATCGAATCAATCTTTGTGCTGTAAACCAAAATATAACAGCAAAGACTCAGTTTAGCACTAATGAAAATCTTGATATAATCATATTTGGTTGCCAATGTCAGATTAAACAAGAAGGAAAGAAAGAAATAATATTTATTTGGCACCGAACATCCATGCCGCACATAGATATATGTAAGGATTACGAAAAAAACAATGCAATAATAAAAAAGTAAACAAAAAAACAACACAGAATAAATAAAAATAAAAAGTACGTTAACTACTAAAAAAAGGAACATATTAGATAGCATTTCCATGTCAAAAGTGTTGCCATCTCAGTATAAGTTGGGTTCTGTGACAACCCAACACTGGTTTTCAACAAGCAGTTCTCTTGTTGAAAAAGGTTTAATAGGGTCACTTAATTCACTATCTACTTAAATAATGAAATAAATAAATACTAAAGACGTAGCTTACTTATCTACTTACACATTAGTTTATATTTTACATAAGTTACCATTTCAGTTTTGACATACCTAAGTATTACTACAACTATTGATTAATTTACTTGTGTTAAATAAAATAAATGCTACAGCTGATTAGTACAAGTGATATTCGACCTTATAACATTAATGTTTAGATTGAAAATAGTAGACAATATGTTTTTCTTATAAATTAGAATGAGAAGGAAGATAGTGATACTGTCGGCTGTTTCTATTTCAGTACGTTAGTTCAAGTAGCATTGTGATACAGTGAAATATTTTGTGAACCAATGTAATATCATTTTACCATTTTTTTTAATGTAAAACATTCAATTCCTCTCCCTCCGTCTTCTTCGTAATATCAGATTATATTTGAGCCCTTACCTTTTTTTTGTGGTTTGGATGTCCATGGGGATGAAGCTTGCTTACCATCAGGTAATCCATGCTCTGGTAATACATGACTTTTAATTGAATTCGTATGTAACAAGATTTAGAAAAATGGACTTAAATAGAACATTTTTATAGTCCATTATTGAAGTGTTATTTTTCATAATTTTTCGCTAGAAAATCAATTTTAAATGTCAACAAGTCAAGTCGAATATTATGTTAAAATGGTATTTACCTATTCTTGTTTTTAATTAAAAAAATGTATAAAAAAAAGTTAGCCGACGCGTGACCTACTTCATCGTGTATTTTTGAAAACGTAGTTTTATGTCTCACTTTGTGTACTTAAAACTGCAAAAGAACTTACTGTGTATAGGAATATGGTGCATTTTGTATCATCGGAATGGACAAGTGAAAGGGAAAGATGTAGTGATAAAGGCGTTTAATACATTAAAATGTAGGTTTAGTTAGAAATGAAATGTTTGTCCGTTTGAAATTATTTATTTTAGTTCTAGAACCGTTTGCTAGATGTTTTTAAACTTTATGGGTATGTGAATAAGCTTTCAATTTGCTTGTGTCAACAGGTTTTACACCAGGGTTTTAAAAGTTAAGTATGTTAACACTAAATGCTAGCGTGTGAGCCTAGATACACAAATTCACTGCCAATACATATGTCATAATGCTTTTTAAATCTCCATAGATTAAATAGAAATGTGTAGTTTATATACATTCTACAACCAAGTACACAAAATGCTGTGAAATCATAATTTTACCATTGTATTATTAAGCTAAAAGTTTAGTTAATTTATATTAAATAAGTAGCCGAATAAATGCATTAATTAACCTTATGTGAATATTATTTAGCACCCAAATTTTTTTATATTATTATAATTATAGTTATGTATTTTGTTTTTTTCGTTTTTACACTTTATTTTATGTAAAAAAGGTACTTAGCTTATATTTGCAACTTTATATATAAGAGGGCTATAGTGAGTTTACTGCGGAGAGCGCTAGTGTAGCGTTAGGTCTTGTGCCGAAAAATAATTTCATAATACGATAGGACAGAACGTCGCGCTACACCAACGCCATAATATGATAAGCAGAAAAACTCTAGCCTTCGTTTAAGGTTGTAAATCATAACGCTAGTAAATTGAAATACTGTTAACAACATAATGATATGTCCAGGTCCACGGTACAGCTCCTGATCTCGCGGGCAAGGACATGGCCAACCCCACCGCCCTCTTACTGTCCGCCATCATGATGCTGAGACATCTCAAACTGCACGAGGATGCAGAGCGCATACAGAACGCCTGCTACCAAGTCCTCAAAGAGGGCAAAGCCCTAACAGGAGACCTCGGAGGCACCGCCAAGTGCAGCGAATACACCAACGCCATCATCTCTAAACTTTAAAGTTCGAACTAGTTCCTCACCCCCCAACATTGGCCCCAAAAATACAATAGAATTGTATTTCGCCAAAGCTAAAAAACCTTAGATAAGTAGTCGATTTCAACAAATAGTTTTACATACAGTATTGCTATGCAATAATAGTATTTATTTCGTTATTAATTGTGAGCAATGTTACCAAACGTTTAGGTATTGTATTGTAAATATATTTTTTATTATTGTAAAGTATCCGATTCAAGCGCAAGGATACCTTAGAGTAGATTCTAAACACATTAACATATTTATTTAGACGATTTGTATCGTCTGCCATTTCTAATCTCATCAAATGGTTAAAACAAACACCGAAAATCATTTTTAAAAATTAAAACTAATTGAAAATTATTTTTGTTTTATTTTGTACAATAATTTGTTTTGTAAGTTGATCCTTTTGCACATCATATTTTGTAGAGTTTCGTTGAATGCAACAGAAACTTGCCAGTTGTGTGTCCCATATTATTATGATAGGAGGTGGCAGATGGCGACCCTATTTCTATTAGTCATGTTCCAAATATCCGTATCCGCGGATATCCGAGGCAAAAGAGAAATCCGTATCCGTTACTTTTCACGCGGATCTTTTACGGGTCTTCTTCAGGTGATTAAGTAGAAATATTAAATAAAAAATTGCAATCAGATTATTTTTATTCCCTAAAATAATAATATTTGGCACTTTTATATTGCAAACATTTCGATAGATAAATCTTTAACTAAAAGCAAGATAAAATATCACTATATATCCAATAATTTTGAATAAGAAAATAAAGATCCGTATCCGCGGATCTTTACACTAAAGATCCGTAGGTATTGAAATCCGTATCCGCGGATATACATTTTTAATCATCCGGCACAACACTATAATTTCTATATGCCGGTGACCATTTCGCACTATCGTATCCTACATTGCCGCTGCTGAGCAGAGGCCTCTTTGGGGACCACCCAGAGCATACGGTGGCGGTGTGCTATGCTTGGGCTAAGCACCGCCGTGCCAGGGATCGAGCACACTCTCCGACCACGCGCGGATCTGCGGACAGCGAGAGGCTGGTTTTAGTGTCACGCGGACCGTCAGTACGGATCTCTCCGCACACACCGATCTGTATTAAGCCAAGGGAGCGTTTTAGTGTAATGCAGACGGGTCCGTACGGTCAACCGTCCGCGCGGACAGCTCCGCAGCCGTCCGCATGGCGCGTCCGTGCCGCGGAGCTATCCGCGCGGACCTCTACCTGCGCGCCTCTACCTGCAGTGATCGTTTTAGTATCGTGCGGAGCGCACGCGTCAGCGCAGTACAATCGACATCAGTCATGGCGAATATTGACACGAGTCGAGTGATCGATGAAGTTCGTTTGAGAAAATGTTTGTGGGATGCCTCTGATCCTCTATACAAAAACAAAGACGCGAAAAATAGAGTGTGGCGTCCCTCCCTGGGACCCACTATTAGTATTGTTAATAGAATACCAGATATTGTTTATGGTCGCCATTGAGTATCTATGGTTTTAATTTTGGCGGAACAATTTTGGCGCCACTTTTTAGGCGGTTACATGTGTAAGCGGTGTAAAGTCAAGAGATTATAATTATTCAATATTAAATACATATTTTATTGACAAGTTCGCCTCTTATTTACTCGGCGTACGAAGCCAAATTGGTGACCCCGACGATCCAAAGAAAACTTCAGACTGGGGAGTTACCTACAAGAGTCGTCATCAAGACCTATTGGACGAAGACCTGACGCCACGGCACCTACACGCAAGTTGATGCCTCTCCGCGCCCGTCGTCACCCATCGCTGCCCATCGCTTTCTGTTGCTGTCCATCGCCGTCCTTGTCCATCGCTACCTGTCGCTGTTCGTCGCTGCCTGTCGCATCACGTCCCTAAGAAAACCTTACTGGCGCCGCTGCGGCATCCGCCAGTGCTGCTCGTTGGTCAGTGGATACACTTACTCTCCATCAAGTAAAGCGGTCAGTGTGTGTTTGTACCATATATTTTACTACAATTACTATAAGCACAATGTGTGTTTAAAGTGCGGCTTAATCAAGATACAAATACTGGACAGTTCATACCATAGCTTGCATTCTTGCATATTGCATTGGACATAATAATTACCCACCCATTATAACATTGGTGTTAGCTGCTAAGAAAAACTATTAGGCATTACATTTTGTTTGGTCTGGCTTGAATGTTTGCATTGCATATGTATAGTTTATTAACACTGCTTACTTTTTTTCAATAACTTACTATATACTTACTTAACTGTTACTATACTGTTTTGGAGTGATTTGTATGTCTACACATTTCCTCAACTTATTCTTAATTTAAAAAAATAAAAGAAAAAATGACTGATAAATCTCAGGAAATATTCCATGACCTAGCTGGCTCTGGCAGTGAACAGGAAACATCACCTACACACCCACCTATCATTAACAGAGTAACTATCCGTGTTCCCCCATTCTGGCCGGACAAGCCCGGTTTGTGGTTTGCCAGCCTTGAGGCACAGTTCCATATTAATAGGGTTACACAAGAATTAACCAAATATTATTATGCTGTCAGCCAACTTGACACTAAATCTGCTGGTGAGGTGGAAGATATTATAACAGCACCACCTTCTCACCAACCATACACTACATTAAAAACAGCGTTAATTAACCGTTTCTCAGATTCCTATGAGGAAAAAATAAAAAAAGTATTAGAAAAGGAAGACATTGGAGATCGGAGACCATCATCTTTTCTTAGGCACCTAATATCTTTAGCTGGCACCTCAGTTCCAGAACAACTTATACAAACTATTTGGCTCAATAGGTTACCTAGTACTTATCAAGGAATACTGATAGCCCAAAAACAGGCCTCACTCCAGGATCTTGGTGAATTAGCCGATAAACTGAATGAAATTGGCCCACAACCTGCAAGTATCCATAGCGCAGAAAATTCTGGTCCAGCAAATGATGACATGGGAGAGCAGCTTCGGGCACTGCAACAGCAAGTGGCCAACCTGACACTTGCGGTTTCCTCTCTCACCAAAAATAGTGACCACAGACGGTCTTTTAACCGTCCTCGCAGTCGTTCACGCTCGCTTTCTCGGCTTTGCTGGTACCACCAGCGGTTTGCAGCGAATGCTGCGAAATGCACTCCACCATGTAGTTGGCCCAATAATAGTGCAACTTCCACTAACAACCCGGGAAACACCAAAAGCAATCAGTGATGGCGACATCTGATTGCTCACAGGTGAGTCGCCGTTTGTTCGTTACGGACCGGTATTCAAATCGTCGATTTCTCGTTGATACTGGTTCCGACCTTTCCTGTCTACCGCGTCATCATCATAAAGGCAAAACAGAGCCCCTCCCATACGAATTAATCGCGGCCAACGGCACAAAAATTAGTACATTCGGTCTCGTCCAATTAAAATTAAATCTAGGGTTACGTCGCGATTTCGATTGGAAATTTGTTGTGGCAGAAGTAGGCACCCCCATTATCGGCTCAGATTTTCTGGCCCACTATAATTTATTACCAGATTGCGCCCGGGCAAAATTGCGAGACGACATAACCGGCCTATGCACTGACACTGACATCGTTTCCTTCAGCCAACCCAGTATTAAACTGATCCACTCACCTGCCTCTCCCTTCGCGCACATATTGGCTGAATTCCCTAGTGTCTCAAGACCTTCTGGGGCTCCCAAGGATCCTAAGCACACCACAGTGCATTACATTAAAACCACCGATGGACCACCGATTTCAGCACGACCTCGTCGTCTAGCACCTCAGAAATTACGGGCTGCCCAAAAAGAATTTGAAGAAATGGTACGAGTAGGTACGGCCAGGCCTTCCAGCAGCCCTTGGTCTTCTCCCTTACACCTGGCGCTGAAAAAGGACGAGACCTACCGCCCCTGTGGTGACTACAGGGCTCTGAACGCCCGCACCATTCCAGACCGCTATCCTGTCCGTCACGTAGGGGATTTTAGCCATAACCTCTCCGGCTGCGCAATATTTAGTACTTTAGATCTTGTAAAAGCTTACCAACAAATCCCCGTCAATCCAGCAGATATTTGCAAAACAGCCATTATAACACCCTTCGGATTATATGAGTTCCCCTACATGACCTTCGGCCTCCGTAACGCTGGTCAAACCTTTCAGCGTTTCATAGACGAAGTGGTGCGAGGTTTAGATTTCTGTTTTGCATACGTCGATGACATCCTCGTGTATTCCAAGGATGCCAAGGAGCACACAGAACATCTCAGGCTCTTGCTCAGCCGCCTGCAGGAGTACGGAGTAGTCATTAACCCCGCAAAATGCGTTTTTGGGGCAAATGAGGTGTCCTTTTTAGGGTACCGCATTAACGCTACGGGCACGTATCCTCCCGAAGACCGCATCCGTGCTTTGAGTGATTTCCCTTTGCCCGAGACAGTACAAGGTGTGCGTAGATTCCTAGGCATGATAAACTACTATCGTAGATTCTTGCCCAGCGCCGCCAAGTATCAAGCACCCCTTATTGATGCAGTGGCCGCGACAAATAGCAAAGGCGCCAAACCCTTCCCCTGGACACCTGAACTTCGTCTATGCTTTGAGAGTTGCAAGAAAAGTCTGTCTGATGCCACGCTTTTATTTCATCCAGCATCCGAGGCTCACTTGGGTTTGTTCACTGATGCATCAAGTGTGCACATTGGCGCATGTCTGCAACAGAAAGTTGGTGATGCTTGGCAACCTCTTGCTTATTTCAGCAAGAAACTCACGACGAAGCAGGCGGGGTGGCCGGCATACTACCGAGAACTCCTGGCTGTGTACGAAAGCGTTCAACATTTTCGACACATCTTAGAGGTTCAACATGCCACGATTTACACCGACCATAAGCCACTTGTTTATGCGTTCGCACAGCGCCGTGAAAAATTACCACCCATCCAACTCAACCAACTTACGTTCATAAGTCAGTTCACTACTGACGTTCAATATGTCAAGGGCACTGACAATATAGTTGCGGACGCTATGTCTCGCATTGATTCAATATCCTTAGAGCCCGATTATGAAGCCCTGGCAAAATCCCAAGAACAAGACGATGAGCTGAAAGAGCTCACGTCTTCTTCTTCTTCGTCTTCTCTAAAAATGGCGAAGGTCAACATTCCCGGGACCAATACTCGCATTTTCTGCGACATTTCAACAGGTAAACCTCGCCCGTATCTTACTCCACCTTTCCGTCGAGCAGCTTACAACAAACTTCACGGACTAAGCCACCCTGGAGTACGAGCAACAGTTCGTTTGTTGTCTGACCGTTTCGTATGGCCTAATATTAAAAAAGACTGCCGTTTATGGGCCCAATCCTGTTTACAATGCCAACGTAGCAAGATCAGCAGACATATTTCATCACCG